CAGGGGTTCCGTCAGGCATATGTGGTGTGTTGCGTTACCACGTGCAGATTGGACGGTATGTTGCCTCCATTTCTTCCTGTGTAAGTGAGCATAGTAATGGTTCTCTCAGGGTTGTGTGAAGATTTCAGTGCATAGATATGACTATATGTAGTAGTATATTAATTCATTAAGCACTTACTGTATTCTAGCCTCGTGCTAAGTGCTTTACACGTGGCCCCTCATTTAACCCTCCCCACGTCCAGTGAAGTCAGAGCCACTGTCCCCGTCTCAGAGTCGTGGAAACTTAGATGCTGAAGAGGTTAAGTTACTTGCTGAGGGCTGGAGTGCTGACACGTGGCAGTAAGGATTTGATTCTAGACCAGAGTCTGAGTTTGGGCCTCTGCTCATTGCATATGTCAAACTTGCTTTATTTATAGCCCAGAATCCCCCTTTACACCTGCTGGCCAGACTGATCACTCAGCCCACCAGGCTGTAAGACCAGCGAGTTAAGCACGGTAAATGGCAACTTTAAGGCCCTGGTGGCATCTCGGATGGGAAAGGCATCTGTTTCAGAATGCAGGTGAATCTGGCACTCCTCCCGACCCCAGACCCGCCCTCACCCCCCACTATGCCCCCTCGTACTTCTTGTCGACCAGCACTTGGTGCGGCCTGCTTCAGTGGGCGCCGGTTGGACGGTGGGGTCTCTTTTGGCTATAAGCCACGTGAGGAGTTACTGCTTTATATAACAGGAGAATCTCTTAGCCTGAGCCACACGCGCATGTGGTTTTATAGCTCTGATCGTCTCTGTCTTTAATATGTGTATATGATTCTACTGGGGCGATTTGTCTTTACAATGATACCAATACTTGTAGGCAATAATGATTTTTCCCCACCACCTTTAGTCATCCGTTAGCCAGACGGAATAAACGTTGTCTCTTTTCATCTTTCTTTACGAAGCGGAAGGCACTGGGATGCAATCATCTCTGTAGTGGCTTATGTGGTTTCCTAGGTGCTGTGTGTTCTGTGGTGACATGATGCCTGTATATTTTAGGAGAGAGGAGGGGAAAAGGGGAAGCTGAAACCCTGGTGAAGCAGAGTGATGCATGGGAAATTTAACAGCCACAAAGACTAACTGGCTAAGTCTAAGGAAATAGCCATCATTTATCAATGAAGTTTAATGTGTGATAGATACTCTTTTATGTATAATATTTAATGATCTTGTTGTGCCAAACTTCTAAAGCCAGCATCTTCTGGTGTTTTTTCTTTTTCTTCCTGTAATACTATTTTTGAGTAGTTGCAAAATGAAGTATTTTCAAGTGGCTAGGTTTTTTGTGTGATTTTTGTGATTTTTCCACAAATTTACTAAAAACGAATATCCTTTATTACGAAGATATTTGGTTCCGAGCTCTGGTAAGAATTTGATTACTGAGGATGATCTCCTTATCTGAAATTGCTTGCTTGCTAAATTTCAGATAGTGAGCAGCAGAATTCAGATATAGACATCATTTTGGCTCCTAAGTTCCAATGTTAGGGGATACCTGTGTACCAGGGTTTCTCAGCCTTGACACTGTTGACATTTGAGACCAGGCAACATTTTGTTGTAGAGGACTGCCTTGTACTTCGTAGAATGTTTAGCAGCATCCCGGCCTTCACCTGCTAGATGCTAGGAGTTTGTCTTCTCTCCCCGCAGCAGTTGTAACACCCAGATGTATCTCCAGACATTGTCAAATTACCCTGGGTGGGCATCGCCTGCGGAGGATGGCCAGATTGCCCCTGGTTGAGAACCGTTACGGTACACCATTGCATTTACCTAAATTTGTAGATAATGTGAAACCCAGAAGAGTGGTATACATTGTTACAGCCACTTAAAGGTACTTCATTTCATCAATTGCATGGAGATGATTTTTAATGAAGAAAAATACAAATAAGAGAGAGGAAGAGATTGCCTTTAGAAGTTAAGAAAAAAAAAGGCTGTTAAATTTTTTTACATAAAAAGACTGTCACATATTAAAACTTAACAGTTCTATGATAGCTGTTTCCTCAGATTTGGTCATATACTGCCTTTTCCATCAGCTGTTCTCTGCAGATCACCAACAGTGCTTGTCTGTAGGTTCTCTTAGTACCCTGCGAAGCAATTCCAGATCACCAACTAGTTCTTCCCTGTTGATCACCATTAAACCTCAGCTCGCCCTTCCTTTCGTTACTTTGATGAGTTGAAATTTTCAACAAGGCAACAATTCCTCAGAGGACATGCTTTAAGGTCCTCCAACAGCTCCCTGCATGGGGTTGCCTGTTGCTCTTGTGTTTGGCCTCTGTGCTGGTTTGGTAACTGGTACTGGAAAACATGCCGTTCTTCCAGCCGGGCGGTGTGTGCAGTCCTACTGTTCCAATGTCTCCTTTACCTTCCCTTACCCCTTCTCTCTAATTTGGGCATAGTCAGTGGCAGATGAATGCCTTCTTATCTATGTTTCTGTTCTCACTCCATTCCTATGAGCTTTTTACTTTGAAGGCATTTTTCTGTGTTATTGGTTTATTTCATTTCCACAATTCTGTGAAATTCACAGTGTCAGTTGCATGCATACTGGAAAAAGCCATCCTTCTAGTTTGGAAATGACTAGAATGTGAGGCTGTTGGCTTTTTTTTTTCACTCGTGACACCAGTGTCCATTATAGGTATATGGGTGCAAAATTAGTGCACCTGCCCAGCAGCCTTGGTGTATCGCCAAGACTTTCAGATCTTTAGACATTTTTTCTGTTACACATAAATAGTGTCTTCTGAAATACAAATATTCAGCTTACTTGGTATCTGAAAAGCATCGTATTACTAAATTTACAACTTAGATTTTTAGTGAACACATTTTTTTCTCAATGGTGTAATTATCAGTCCTTTCATGTTACTGCTGCCTCCCCCAATTAAGTAATCAATATGTGAACCTGATATATAGTAATTTGGGGCCAAAATTTGCTTTATGTTCAAGATCCTGTGCTGTTTTATGCTATGACTGTCACATCTTTAGCACAGGAATAGTAATTATAAATAAAATCTATTTTTTCTTACATTGTCATTTTGGAGATGCAACATTTAGCATCTATAAATTTAGTTATATTGAAATTTTCACTGAATCTTTTCTGGAATTAAGTTCATATATCTTAGGAACTAGCAGAGAGATTTTCCCTTAGGGTATGCCAGGAGAGGAGCAAGTAGTTTTGATAATGAAATGAGACCTTATAGAAATATTTCTAGAGCAGCTATAATCATTCAAATGAGAATTGAATTGAAAAGGAGGGAAAAGAGAATCAATTGGGTTTTTTTTTCTTCTTTGAATATCAGTGTTTTAGGTAATCTGATGGCAGCAGAAGGCTAAAAGACCATGCTAATTTGTCTGTTTTTTCCTGCGCGTTACTGAGAACTCTCTATTTTAATCTGGTTTGGAAACAAAGTAACAGAAATGTGATTTTTGTTTCTGTGGCAGGAGATGGAATAAACTGAGGCTGCAAGACAAAGAGAAGCGTCTGAGGCTCGAAGAGGATTCTGAGGAGAGCGAGGCCGAATTTGACGAAGGTTTTAAAATGCCAGGTTTTCTGTTCAAAAAGCTTTTTAAGTACGTGCCATGTGTTCTTTCCTTTACATCCGTCATCAAGCCATTGTGTACAAATTAGTATTTTAGGAATTACATAGTCATTACCTGTGGGCCTTTACGGTACTTGCAGCAATTTATTGCTAATATAGATACTGTCAGATGAAATTTTAGCCACATGCTGTTCATTAAAATGAGATGATAATAAATTGACCAGAGTGCACATTGGGTATGTTTGTAAACTGATGAATCTGTGTGGACCTGTCTCAGCAGACTAAAAGCAACACATTTAAAAGCCATCTACATCGAGTTATTTTTTATTCTTAGAAATTTTAAGGGGCCAGACCTCTAATTTCTTAAATCAGATTAATTAAGAAGAGTTGCCTGTTAAAATCAATATCGGTGAGGGTTTTTACTTCTAGGTTGAAAGAAGAAACTGTGTAGAGATTATTTTCTGAGCGTCTTCTATTGTACTTCAGGGTATAATACTTTTGAGCCAACCATACGTGCTTCTAAATACTTCATGTAGTTGCTATTCTGGTATCAAAAGAGAAGATATAGGCAAACACCTATAGGATTAAGTTGCTATTTGAAAGTGACTGTGTTTCGCATGTGAAGTGGCCCAGGGTAGCAGATAACTGGATGCTGCGTGGTACATGCATGCCTCTAGCCTGCAAGGCCCGGGAGAGTCTCCCTTGATGAATGTAAATACTGAGCCCCATATTCAACCTCATCACTCCTGGGGTTTACTTAACAAGGTACTTTAGGAAGGTTTCTTTGATGCATATAGGAAGTCAAACCATTAACTAGCTTCTTTCTGTTTCTTGTGTCATCACTTGGTAGTTGGGTGCAGGATGCAAACTTCTTTCTTCAAGACCGTTATGTTTGCTCTCCTTCATACATTCAGCTGTCAGCCCTGCCCTGAACTTGTGCAGGCATGCTTTTTAAATTTCCTCTCAAAGAGCTTTTATTATCATTTTAATTTTTCTCTTGGGGGTGGAGGGGACAAAGGGAATACTTATTTTATCTCATTAAACATATAGGAAAGCTGAATCCTAAAGATGTAAAGTGTCTCAGCTGGGGTGCCACAACTAGACAGAAAAACTATAGAGAAATTCGAATCTGAATCTTTCTAGGTATTTTTGTAGATATTTTAGAGCCAGAGAGGTGGCCACTCTGTTGATTGCTTCTCCCAAATGAAAATGAACTATGGAAAGGTAAATAAAGATAATATGGTATTGGCAACTGTTTTCATCTTCTCTAAAGTGATTGCTTATTAAGGAACAGGACACATGGCATTAGTGCTGTAATAGCAAAAGGAATGCCCCAATTATAGAGTAAACTGATTTAACAAGGACAGGATACTTCTGCATGTGTATTAAGTGATTTGACAAGTATCCTCAAGAATCAAGTTTAATGTTCATTTTTGTATAAATGTGAGATTTTTCTAGCAAGGAAATTTCAGTTACTAGAACCAAACTTTGCTTTACTAAGAGTATATAGGATTCAGTGTGTGGACTATTAACCCTATTGTAGTTAATGTAAACACATGAGTTTTTTTGTAAATTTGTCTTAATTGCGTATTCCTGGAAAGTATTTTGTTTCATCTCTCAAAATCAGGACTTTAACTATTTCATAAATGTTATGAAACTTCTATTTCTTCTGCTATATGAAAAAAAAAAGTAATGGGATTGGTAGAGTCTCCATTTTTCTTTCATGATTAAGTTTTAGCCAGGCCAATTTAATTTTAAGCTGTAGATATATTTTTACTGTATTTACCGCACTCTGTGGAATTAAATTAACAAGGTATATTTGTACACAAGGGAGTCAGCAGGCACAGTTATCTATTTAAGTGCTATTTTCTGCAAGATCATGGTTAACTTTTAAAATTCTGTTTTGAACGTCTGCCCAGCAAGTGTATTTGATGGTGTGATTTGGCAGTCAGATGACAAAATTCAGTCTTTTGACCTTGCTTTTAGCCATGCTAGTAAATGCAATCTTGGGTTAATGTGACAGTGCTGAAATACACCAATTTTCTGTGGCTATTTTGTGATGCTTCAGTCTCGTGAGGGAAGCAGTTTCTTTACTTTCGTTTTACAATAGTTTGTAAAAATCTTTAACATTCCCTAAAGAGTAATTTTTATATGTTTTCAAAGGTTCTGAAAACTAAATTCTGTAGCCTGCTTTCATTTAAAGTATGTAATGTTTTAGAATGTCTCTTATTAGGAAATTAAAGCAACAAAACCTGAGTCAGTTACTGGTCCTGCTGAAACCAGAACCCAGGCTCACTCCCTAACTCTTCTAACAGCGGCTGCGCCTGCAAGCCGGTGTGCTGGAGCAGCCCGAGGGCCTTTGTGGAAAGAAAGAGCCACTCTTTGCATCTTTGTACCACGTCCCCAGTCGTGGTTGGGGATTTCCATGTAGTGATGTGACTTACAGGGCTGCCCAGGAGCTAAGTCATTTCTTTAGTGCTAATCATCTTCTTGCAACACACAATCACACACTGTTTGAACACCCTTGGAATTTACATTTGTCAGTGAGGAAACACCTGGCACACTGTCTCTGCCTCTCATTCCTGACTCCCTCTGGGATACTATGTGGGTCACCGTTTTTTATTCCTTTTCTGGTTTCTCGATTGCTACTCTCTAGATTCTTCCCGCTTCAAGTTGGCTGGCCCCAGACAGAAAGAGGTCTTGGTCTGTGTTGGGTGGAGGCAGTGTGGTGTAGTGGTAAAACACTGGAATGATCACCGGGAGAGTTTGGCCCCTACTGCCCAGAGGAGCTGGTCCCAAAGTTGTTCTGCACCTCAATGAAAGGAGATTGATTGATTAGAATTCAGTGATCCTGAACTCACATCAGTTTTTTGGAGAGCTTTTTGGACTATATCTTTTTCCATGGCTGAGATCAGTCCAGTGTAACTAGTTCACAACCAGCTTTTATTCTTAGATCAGAATTTTTCGTCCTCAACACAACTGACATTTAGGGCTGAATAATTCTTCGTTGTAGGGACCATTATGTGCATTGTAGGATGTTGAACAGCATCTCTGGCCTCTACCCACTAGAAAACAGTTGTACTTTCCCAGTTGTAACAACCAAAAATGTCTCTAGGTTGTGCCAAATGCCCCCCTCCCCTCAACTCCTCAATTCCTGATTGAGAACTACCGGTCAAGATTATCTCCTAAGTGGAAGCACTTTGGAATCAGAGGTTCTGGATTTCAGTTCTAGCTTGCTCATATTTTGTGCTAGCAGTGTGACCTTTTACACATAACTTAACCTCTCTGTGCCTTCATTTCCTAACTATGAAATGGGCTGATCCTCATTATGTGGGCAGGTTGTATCCGAACCACCTGGTGCCTCCCCAATTGGAGGCCCCTGAAGTGATTGGTAGCCTTTATTCTCTGATTCATAGTGTGTGTTCATAGAACTTGTCCTTCATCCCAAATTAAGTGATCTTTTATCCATACTAGACTTCACTGTTTTGATTTTACATCTCCTCCAGGATGCATAGTCAATGTGTCTATTATAATTAGCAAACTTAAGCAGCAGAATTCTCATTCAGAGTTTTCCTTATGTGATAGGTAACAGCAGCAGCTAGAATCAGACTTTTGGAATTGATTTGCAAAATACTGAGGGAAAGTTAATTATGACGTATTTACTAAGAGGAGTGTGAATAAAACTGATTTAACAAGGACTGAAATCCACAAGATTTTAGTTATACCACGGTCCAGAGAGTAAACATCTGGGCAGTAAAACAACAAAACCACCACCACTGTCTTTTAAGGTGGGCAGCTCATTAGCCTTGGTGTTTTTTTTGGAGGAGGGGGTAGAACCCTTCAGCTTTCTTTCACTGTCTTTTAAGTATTTTTTGCTTTAGTTTTTTTTTATATAACTTGGTACATATCTTCATATCATTACATGATGTTAAATCTTTCTTTCACTCTCAAAAATACATTTTGCTTTATTCCTTTTTAACTTCATTTTTAGATTATTGAATTAAATATACCATCGATGGAGAAAGGCAACTGCCAACTCTTTTTTTTTTAAGAGGGGAATATATTATTTCTCTTTGACCTGTACTCCCTATTTAAAATTTTAATAGCTCTGACCTTTTTGTTTCTATGATAAAGTCCTTGAATCAAGTTCTGCTTTAAAATTTTAAAAGACCTTTTGTATTGTTGAGTCTTTAAACTGTTTTTTTTTTCTTGGATCTGCTAGTAATATGACAGAATCGTCTGTTACGTACTAATTTTGTGAGCAGTCCTATTATTCAGACTTGTTTATGGTCCTAAAATTTAATTTAATTTTTCCCATAAAAAGATAATATGATTACCAAGTGACTTCTCAACAGTATATGCTGTAAATTGGTGTTCTCTGTCCTGCCTTTTGATGCTGTTCACATTGCAAAAGCAAATGTTAATGCCTCTTTTCATAGAAAAATTATTGAAACTTTACATAACTGTAAGTATTTGAGGTTTTTTTTCCATAGAAGTATTGAATAAAAGATAATAAGTTTATGCTTGTTTACCAGGCTATTTCTAATGTTGGAAAAGAAAAGAAATAGTCTCTAATTACCCCATCTATCAGTTTAATTAGAAATGTGTTAACGTTTCTGTAAAGAAAAATTTGTGATTTTATGCCTAGGTAATCAAAAATGTATGACCTTATAAATATAATACTCATGTAAAACACACATCCGGCATGCTTCTCTGACTGGTGCTAGAACCTCGCCAAATGATTAATTCATGAGTACTTGCTGTTACGATCTGTATTATCCACCATTTGCCATTTTCTTTTTCTTGTTGGTGTTTGTTGTTGTAGGTACCAGCAGACAGGTGTTAGGTGGCTGTGGGAATTGCACTGCCAGCAGGCAGGAGGAATTCTGGGAGACGAAATGGGATTGGGCAAGACCATCCAGATAATTGCCTTCTTGGCAGGTCTGAGCTACAGCAAGATCAGGACTCGTGGTTCAAATTACAGGCAAGTGCTCCTCTGCAGACTGTCAGTCTGTGGAGCTCAATTAATATTTCATCAGATGTATTGCTGTGGAGGAGGGTCTTGTGAATTATTGATGACATTTCAATTACAATATTCCTTTAATTCTTTTAGTGGGGGACATCAAAGGAAAATTTTACGAGACAATGGAGCTGTAGGGCAGGAGAAATTAAACATGTAACACTTTTAATGAATTCCAGGCATTGATGCTTCATTTTGCAGATGAGCCCCACTAGATATTTTGGGTCAATACAGTGTCTAAGGTTAGCGTCTGCAAATGGATTGTTTACAAACTCAATTATGTTAATATCAATAGTTTACACAATATGGAATTTTAAATTAGACATAATACCTTTAGTTCCATTTATTAAATTTTACATTAAAATATTTGTTCTGGCAGGGGACCAGGTGAGCATTACAGTAAGTACAAAGTCTCTTCATGGGGAAAGTTGAAGCTTTGGAGAAGCCATTCTCCCGAATTTCTTTTGTAATCATTTTGCATGTTAGCATTTGCAGATAGGGCTTTCTTTTTTAAATGAAGTTATGTACTTGTGTGCTCACTATGTTGTCTACTTCCTCTCCCAGTCCTTAAGAATTTTATGTAAATTCTAAAGCCAGTGTCTAAGCAACCGGCTAAAATGATAGAAAACGAATTTTAGGTTGTAATCTTTATTCTCTTTAGGAATTTAAATAAACTATGAAAGCTTTACTATTCTGAAAGAATAAGCATTTAAAACTGTGTTAGTTCTGAATGATAGGACTGAAATACTTTATCTTGAAATATAGTGGGCCTTTCCATATTTAAGCTGTAAATTGGCTTTATGGAAATAAGTGTTGGTAAAAAATAATGCTGGATTAAGTTATGTAGGATATTTAATCTTGAACCTAGATAATCAAGGACTCTTTGGATTCTAGTAGGCTTATCTAATGAGTAATAGCAAGATATTTACAAGATGGGTATGTCACAGAAACCTCAGGCACTCACTAGATGTGACTGGGCGACCCTTTGACAGGGCACAAAGTTACTGTCCTGCACTCTGGTTCATCAGCAGAGAAATATTTAGTCAAGAGCCAAATACAAACTGTAAACCATTGAGTAAAAAATTTTTTTCTTTGAATCTTCTGAGTTTTGTTTTTGTTAATTTTGTGTGAAAATATCCCATCCCAATGGAAAAATCAAAGATGAAAATGGGCATTAGTGTTTTCTTAACTATAAATGTCATTAGTTTACTGTTTTAAAAAATGCTTTTTTCTGTTCCTAATAAGCTCTTTGGTTGGCTTGGCTCTCCACCTCTACTTTGTTTTTTTTGTTTGTGTTTTGATAACTAGAATTAGCCCCAAGCTGCCCCAAATAGTTTCTAGCACTGTCTTTCTCTACTTAAATGGTTTCTGGGATTTTCTTATTTCCCATCTCTTTTCTTCCCCTCCCTTCCTATCACCATGAAACTTGTGTGGCGTCTAATACGCTGGGCCTAGGAAACCTAAAGTCATCCCTGCAGTCTAGTTTTGATCGAAAAATTAAAACATGCTCTCTCGAGTGGTGACAGTCCTACCAGGAGTGAAGTCAGGGCTAATAATGAGCAGCAGCTGTAATCAATTAACTATCAATGCAGCGCTCCTCTTTCCCATAATGAAATAGTGTGGCACGTTGGCCTATAGCCCAGATCTCTTTATTAAAATGGCGTTGGTGGAAGTGGCTTCCCAGAATGCAGTTATACATCAACCAAACAACTGGGCTCTTCAGGAATAGAGGTGCACGGAGGAGCGTGGTCCCCTCCGCGTCCATGTGCTGAAGTGAATGTGTAACATTTTCTCACAATTTTATAATATGTCCTCCTCTGAAGCTAGATGAACTTGGAGTTCTCTATGTTTATGTGCTAAAGAAAAACATTCAGATGAATAGTCAAACAAAGTTCTGTGTGAGCCAGCCTTGCATCATTGGCTTCATTGTACATTTCCTCTGAACTCTCATGAGCTGTGGATTTGGGGGCCCTAATTTGAGATGGTCTTAGTGTTGTAATTTTAAGGTCAGCAATCACTGAAACCATGTAAGTTTCTCAGGCACCAATAAGGAACTTCATGGTAAGGGAAGTTTTAATTTTTGTTTATTTAATGTGTCTTATATGTGTGTGTGTGTGTTTTTTTTTAAAGAGGGAAAAGCATATTTACACGTGGTTAGCAAAAAATCTAAAATGGTTGTTTTCTCAGTTCATAATGTGTACACTAGCTTCTTTTCACTTTGCCATTCATACAATAGTGCTAGGCTCTCAGAATTTTATGATGGAGAGGAAATATATTAGTCACCTTTCCGACTTCAGTTAATACTTTGAAATCTTGGATATCATTTAGTAAATTCCTAATTACACATAACTAGCCTGAAAAAGTTAATAAACTTTCAAAGGTAAATATTTTTACTTTGTAAGTCCTGGGACGGGCTTACAGGTTTCCATCCTGCAAGTTGAAATCGGAGCTATCGGCGTGGCGTAAACTCATTAGGTAATCAGTGGTAATCGAAGATGAAAGGAATTGCAGCCAGTTTGGTAATTGATGCTAATCACTGCAGTACATTTAGCCGTTTCTCCCGCACATCTCACCGGTACTGAGGGCTGCAGAAGGGTGGTGCAGTGATGTGAACGTTAATGGGTCTGATAGCCCCTTCTGTGGTTCAGGAACCATCTAGGTCCGCTCCCAGATTTCCACTCAGTGGGAAAATCTCCTTAGTCTTCTAATAGACAGAATGGCAGAAATTAAAGGGCATCATAAAGCCAGATAGATGTTCAGCCAGAATAAAATACTGGCCTTAAATGACAAAGTGTGAGGCATCAATGTAGCAGTTTATGGAGAGCGTGTTATGAAAGAACAGAAATGATCTATGACTTACGAAAGCTTACGTATGTATTTGTGTTTTGAAAGCGAGTTTGTTTTTAAATATTTTAGATGGGCTTTGATTGGTTGTTTCTTAATCCTTGCTGAGTGCGTATTGATGATAACTCTCTTTGATTCCCCTCGGAGGATATAAAGAAGCTGGTGCGTTTAATCCTTTTAGAAAGGAGTATTGTCACGGAGGGTGCCAGGGTGGAGTCACGCTCTCCCCCGGGAGTTGAGGGGGCGCCTGCCTTGGACCTGCCCTTGGGGAGGAGCAGAGCAGGGCTTGGGAATTTTGCGGGAAGTGTCAGCAATCTGAGGGGCAGGGGCAGTGACTTGTCGCTGGAGGTTGAGAGGTTTGAGAAGTGTGTGGAGGCATGTTGTTACACTGGGGTCTAAGGGTAAGCCTCCTTTAAGTTATGGCTTGTTTTTCTGCTAGAACTACAAGGTATTTTTCAGTTGTGCAGAAGAAGATTATTTTTAATTTTTGAAGCACTATGTGATTTACTCTAATTTACAAAATTTTTTTTTAAGTTCAGGGATCATTTATTGAACGGTAGCAAGAAAATTTAAGTCACCCATGATCCCCCCAAGTCAGAAATAATCTCTTTTTAATGTTTCAATATAATTTCTTCCAACATTTAAAAAAAAATTCCATTTAATAAAGCCACTGTCCATTAGTTATCGCCTGTGGTCTCCTGTGCAGGGAGATGGTTTGAGGGAGAGGCTGCCTCTGTACTCTCAAGGAGCCCGGTGAGGGCGATGCTTGTTATGACGGGGTTCATATGGGGTCCTAACTAGTGTGCACTCACCGAGGAAGGGTCCTTAACCTATGAGGAGAGACAGGGACAGGGGGCACGCTGTAGAAGAAGCCGAGGGCTGAAGGGCAGGTACAGGGTGACTGGGAGGAGAGGCTATGAAGGGAAAAGGCGAAGGTTGAGAGGTCGGAGGAGTACGCACTTTGTAGTGACTGAAGACGTGCTTGTAGGGGCATGCTGGACCACAGGGACCCTGAGCGGTGATGCTGAGGAGGTGGGCCGCCATCAGGTCCTTGTGGCCTTATGTGCCAGGTTAAGGTACCTAGACTGTTCTGAGGGTAGGCGGCAAAGGGATGAGTCATTCAGATTTTGCTTTCTTGAATGATTGTGCTAGAAAGTACAATAACCCAGTAAGAGATGAGAGTGGCCAGAAGTGGAGTTATCAGCAGTGTATTTGCAGAGACACGGTGACTCTGGGAGGCGTTTAGGAGGTGGACGTGTGACACGAACCCAGTCCAGGTTGGAAAGTGCAGTGGAGAACAAGAAGGACAGGGCAGGGATGAGGCCTGGATTTCCAATTTGGGTGCCTGGAGAATGGGTGACAGTTCTTCCCACTGGATTAGGAAACATGGGAGGAAGGCAAAGTAGGGGAGGTTGCAGTGTGGTGCCATGGGGACAGCTAAGTGGAGAGATCAGCCAGCAGCTGGACCTTCAGGCCTCTGGTACTTTGGAGTTTGGGACAGGGATTGGGCTGGAGACCTAGACTGGCATCGTCAGTGTCTAGGGAGTAACTTACACTTGAGAGTTACGAGAGGGCATGGGGAGAGTGTGTGCAGTGGGTTGGTGCATCTAGCTTCAGATGTTCAGCAGCCTTGTTGGGCGGAAAAAGGTAGGGAGCAGAGAGTGACAGTTTAAAAAGTGCCGGTGACTCTGCTCCAGAATGAGTGAGAGGTGGGCTGTGTGGGTTTCCAGGGTCCTCTGGCAAATCTTGGCTCCCAGTTGTCTCTGGTAGTGTGAGCTGGGTGTGAGTCTCATGCTGAAGAGATCCACATAGTCTGACTTTTGCTTAATATTCATTTTATGCACCAGCTAGCACCCATCTCCCAGCAAGACTGAAGTTGAAGCAACTCCAGTAATAGGAGCATCGATGTCGAGGCGGGTTTGGGCTCGGGCAGGAAAAGGGATGCCTGTTCCATTGTAATAGCAGGGAAGGGGGGCAGGATGGTACAGATTCAGTCAGGTGCCCGTGGTACGTAATGGATCAGGGTATTTTGATTGCAGGTTAAAAAAAAATCCTGGCCCTACATTGGGTTGAATGTTCACAAAATGTGTGATATACCTAGAAACCTACAAAGAGGGTAGGCTGTAAACACAGCATGATCAACATCCCAGTGATGTCATCAGGGACCCGGACACTTTAATTTTCTCCTGAGGGCAGTTCTTGTGGCCATGAGATCTCCTTGCACTGGATCCCAGCTGCCAGTGGCCACTGGGCTCAGTTTCCTTGTCCATATCAGCCGGGGAGACCAAGAGAGGTGATTCCACAGCCTAGAGTGTTAAGTCCTTCCTTACCCTGTGCGAGGCATCTTCCCACCCTCTCAGTGGACTGGAGAGTGTCACCGGGGGAGTACTGTGTGCTGAAGGGCCGTAGACGTGGCTTCACTCCTCTTCGCCATAGCCAGACAGTGGCCAGAGTCCCACCGAGGACGTGTTTGGGAAGGAGAAGGGGGTGCCTGCACGAAACTGTGATTCTGTTCGGAAGCAGAGAGAGGAGAGATGGTTGTTGAGATAGTGGCCATAACCAGTTTACTGACTCCCTGTGTGTAAGTAAATTGGGGCGATTCCATAAAAAAGGTCATTTTTTTTAAAGACTTATGAGCATTTTTCAGGTTTTAAGTATTCTTCATTTTCATGGTTATATGGTGTTCCATCTTATTTAACAAACTCTAGTATAGTATCTACTATATACTGTTCCAAGTACGTTATAGATATTCATTTAATCTTCGTGTAACCCTGTATCATCAATATTATTATTATTCCTATTTTAAGATGAGACACCGAGGTTCAGTTAGTGTGTGCAGAGCCAGGATTCAGCTCCAGACAGTGCTCCTAACCACTAGCCTGTGCTGTAGTCAGATCGGATGGTTTCTGCAGCCCTTCTCTTATTTACAGATGTTCAGGTGGCACCCACTTTCCCCACAGTACAAATAATGCTACCACGTGTATCCCGACCCATCAGTGTTTGTCTGGTCAACACGCCCCTTGCTAAGGCTCTGGCCATGTGACGCTCAGCTGCTTCCCCTGAAAACCGCGCAACTTGCTGTCTGTTGGTGTGGGCCTTCTAGGAGAAGCGGTCACCGTGATGCTCTCCCACTGGTATTTTTTATCACATGGAGGAGCCAGCAGCATGATGTAGTGAAAGAATAGGCTGCAGCAATCAGACGACCGACTTGAGGCGTTGCTCCATCTCCTGGGACCCATGTCGCCGTTGGCACACCAGTCTTCAGCATCCCCTAACAGTGCAGGGTTTTGGTTCTGCTCACTTCCCAGGGCTGTGAGATTGATTGACAGCCTCTGGGTGGAAACTCTGGGTAGACTATAAAGCTTCCAACCAATCGAAGCTACTCTTATGTTCACATAGTGTAAGATGTATCGTCTAGTACCTTCACTGGTCTGGAATAGAAGAGGAGAGAAAAGTATTTTTGTCACGTAATTTTTGTTTGATTTTCTTTTACTTTGCAATAGACATTACCTTTTAACGTGTTGGCAGCCGGCGTTTCCCCTTAATATCTGCACCCACTAATTGATGAATAGGGTTGTAGGGATTTCACTTAGTGGGTTTTATCCTTAAGATCTTGTTCTTTAAAGAAAATATCAGTAAATTTCCATAACTAGGATTTTCTTATTTGAACTGCTAAGTTTTTGTTTGTTTCTTTTTTTTCTTTGTTTTTTTTGGCAGTTGATGACCCATGTGCTGTCATTCATGGTTGTCTTTTCTTCTTGGACACTGCGTGCAGGTTCGAGGGGTTGGGTCCCACTATAATTGTCTGTCCAACGACAGTGATGCATCAGTGGGTGAAGGAATTTCACACGTGGTGGCCTCCGTTCAGAGTGGCAATTCTGCACGAAACCGGGTCCTTTACCCACAAAAAGGTAACGTTATGATACTTGAGTACCTCTTCTGCTTGTTTTGTTTTAAAGCCTTGCATTTTACATAATTTCTTTTGCTTTGATCCATGTGTTATTCAAATGTATGTTTCTGTGTTTCTTTCATGCATTTAAACGTATTGTTATTGATTTAATTTGGAGCTCTGTATTTTCAAAACAATTATGAACGTAGTCTTGCTCGTGCTAACTGTCCATAGGAGGCGTTGAGACATATTGATTGTCCCGTGAAACACAACTGGGCACACACAGGGCGCCACTGGCCTGATAGCGTGAGTGGGACTGGAAACAGGGACTTACGCAGCGGTTTACTGGCTGGATTTGGGGCATTAGGAAAATGGGTACAAAAATATAATAACTCTTGATTGGTAAATGCATTTGTTAACATGCTTTTAACATGTTTTAATGAACAAAAGAACAGCCTGCCATTTTGAGAATTTCATAATTTGTATTGGTACCTTTTAGTTAAGTTGCTTTTTGTTCTCTGAATTCTTGATCACCATGTAAGTATAATCAGTTTTTTTTTGAAAGTCACATTTCCTCACTTACTCGTAGTTTTAGCCACATTATCAAAAGAGAGTCTTACCATCTCTTACCCTAGCAGAGATAGGTCGTATTATGCTTTTTTTATTCTCCTCTGACTTACCAGCTAGACTGTATGCTCTGCAGAGTAGGGATGTCTTCCTCATTTTTTGTATCCCAAGTGCCCCATAGCTGAATAAATAATAATTACACATTGTCACCGTGGGTTTGCAGGTCACTCTGTAGACAAGAAGTGGCAGCTTGTTATGCCTTCTTTCTTTGCCGAGTCTTCAGAGCCCTTGAGTGAGCTCTCTGTGCCCCCGTGAAAGGATGCCAGCTGAAAGAGCTGTTGAACGTTGGCCTCACTGAGTTAAATCCACATGAGCCACTAACCTCCAGTGTCTTTGCAATTCTGCCAGTACCCCCTTTCCTCCAAATTCCCATTTTGTTTGTGATCACGAGTAAGTGGAACTTTTGGTAGAAGTGAATCAGAGTATCTGTAATTTCGTAGCTCAAGTTTGATGCCACAGAATCTTGCTTTACTACCTGTTATTAAAATCAGCTAACTTTGCCCTGAATTTTAAATAATAAAATGGGAAACAAATGAGTTGAAATAATTAATGAAGTAGGGTAAATGCTGCAGTCAGAAAAAAAAAAAGGTCGTGATTTTTTTTTTCAGCAGCATGAAAATAACAGTTATAGATTATTTTTGTAGTCCAACTAAGTTGTTGTAACTATCTGTCATCAAATCACCCTCATAAAACATTTTTGATTCCTTTTTTCACTTCTGTTGTCTGTTGACATTTCCTAGTGTTTTGTATTGCAAAATCCTACACTCAGATTCATTCATTGATGAATGTCTTTAAAAGGCAAATTTTTCATATGTTCCTCTTTATCCTTTCATTTCTTCTGCGCTGGTGAAGTGTGTATTTCACACCTTCACCGTATCATGGCTTCCCTGCGTTTCCTCTGTTAACTATAACCTGAAAAAGAACCTTCATGAAATACGTTGACTCGCTAGTGGAGATAGAATTGACATTGGTCAGTGTCTCTGTTGGTGAGACTTGCTTCCTTAATTTGTTTGGCAGACAAAACCTTGAAGAATGCATCATTTCACTTTTGTTTACAAAGATCGCACCTTCTGAGGTGGTTTTGCCCGTACAGACACATGCATACAAATGATCGTCCGTGCCTTTTTTTAGTGCTGAACAGTTTACCAAGGACTTTAACTTGCAGTTTGTGACTTGACTTTTGAGCAAAAGCAGTGGACTTGTTTATTTACTCTGACCCTTAACTCTTTTGACAGTTCCTTTTCCATCATAAATTATCTCAGATCTCTAAAGATACGTAAACTGTTATGCAAAAGATGGAGAAGTCCTTTTGCATCTTTCAAACAATACTCTCCACTTAGAAACACAGTTTACTATTTGTTTATTGTTAATGTTAATATCAGTTTGTTATCTGTGAGGGTGACACATTGAGAATGTATTCACTCCTTTGCACAAGGCCTGGTTAGTAACACTTCCAAGATCAGAGCTCTGGCTTCTGGATTAAAACACCGAGGTGGCATTTGCTCCCTTTGCTCCTTCCTTTTATGTTTGTATGTACAGGTCTTGTCACCACCCTGTACACACCTGTTGGCTTACAGGTGTGTGTTGCATTGCAATAGAGTTGACATTTCTTAATCACATTTCAGATGTTCTGCCAATGCTGGTCTGTCCTCTAACCCAGCATCTAATGTCTGACTTCCTTTCCATCCTTACAGGCTGAGATTCCTCTTTCCATGGGGCAGCTTTCTGTGCCCACCAGTTGTCCTGTCTAAGTGTAATAGCGGTGTTCCAGCACAGGGGCCTTCAGTGCTGCAGAAAATAGGGAAGAGAAGAGAATTTCTCTTTCAGGGAACTTAAAGGCATCATAATGCCAGAAGTATTCTGCTTTTCGTTCAAAGAGATCATTTTTATTTTTCTAATCATTCAGAATTAAAAATCATTACTTTTCTAATCAATATGGTAAGAAGTAAAATTTTGTAAATTTTTCATTTAGGGAACAGAGATCAAATGATCAAACAGTTTGTAAGTGGAGCCTATCTGTCATTCTTCCTCCCTGCATTGCCTTTTAGCTTCCCACCTCTCTCACCACGTGATCCTGTATCATCTTTGTTAATATTCTCTTTGGTTGACAGCATAATTTAGAATTATCAAATGCACACCCAGCAACTGTGCAAAAAAAAAATGTGGCTAATATTTTCAACCAAATGATCAAATCAGATAAAGACATTTTCAGGCTTCTGAATCTCCTTTAATGGTCAGTTGAAATCTCATTTAATAGGAATCAAGGATTTTCCTTTTCTCATTATGTTTTATGATCTCTTTTTTCTAACAGAGAGAAACTTGATCTGTGAGTGGATTAATATTTATTTGTTGAATAACTATAAACACAGTATTGCAGGTATTTGATGTTATTAGGGCTCCAAAAATGGATATGATGTTTTTAACTGACCTTGAAAAGCTCACCATTTTCTTGGGGAAAGAAAATAATACGAAAAGATAATAAAAGAAGGCAGTTTTGAGATACTTACCCCATAACTCACAGTGGGTGGTGACATCTTTAGCACTGTGTTGTAAAGTTTATTTAATTATTAAGGACCCTTTTTTCAATTTATTGGAAGATGTGTGTGAGAAATTTCTTGCTTATATTCTGAGATGGTTGTCACTTTATAGCTTTCCCACCTTTCCCTGCTATGTAGGGTATTGTAACTCTGTGGAATATTTTTGATAACTCAGAGAGATTTATCATTTTGATCAATTCATGGCATTTAGAGCCATCAGATTGAAAAATGCAACCGTGGCATAAAGGCTTAAAAGCATAGATTTTATAATTTCCAGAGCCAGGGTTTGAATCTTGGATCTGCCATTTTATAGCTTTGTGACCTGGGGCAAGTCACTTAGCTTCTCTGAGCCTAGACTGATCTCCTGAAAATGGGTAATTTTGTGAGGATTTGTTGGGTTAATATGTGTGCACAGTAAGCTTAGTGTGGTCCCCAGCACAGAACGTTTACTTGGGTAATTCCTACTATTAGAAACAAAGAATGTAGTAGTCCTTGTCATCTCAGTACCTGAGAAAAGAAAAGATGCTCTGACGTTTCTGATGGATTCAGTATAAATACATTTGATAGAGGGTTTGCTCCTGCTGTATCAAAAATATTCATAGTCTTTCACGTCTAGACCCTTTTCCCTCATGTCCAGATGCGTTGGCCCCAAATGGAAACAGTGAAATAGAATGTTAAAATTTTTTGAGAAATGCAAGGGGTGATTATAGAACAGACCACACAGAAAGAACACGACCATCTGATGCACCTGCCATCACATGTTCTTCAAAAAGGTTCATTTTCTAAAACACTAGTGTAAAAAGACTTGGCTTTTTAACAGGCTGGAAGGGAGTCAACTGAAAACCTAACAAATGATAGTAGGAGAGGGCCACACGGTTCCTCAAGCATCCTCAATATTTCAGACCCATTGCAAGGACACAAATGATAACACAAAGTGATGGAGTTCCTATTAACTTTAGCGACGGCGTATACACCGAGTACAACAAGAAATGATAGATGCTGCGCTCGTTCCGTGAGGGCTATTCTGAAGTTGTGTTGCCGGAGCCCTTTTTTCCTCCATTGTCAGCACAAATCCTTGTTTATTAAAGATTTAGCTTGAAGGAAATTTTAATTAATTACAGGTGCAGTAAATCCTGCCTGGGAAGCCGCTGTGCTGCTTCCCGTGAATGGCCTTCATGTGCCTGTGCTCCACGCCGCTCCCCCCGCTGCCTGACAGCGTGATTTATGGCTGTTGTTTTCCACCAGTCCACTGTTTGCCCTCTAGGAGGGACTGGTCTCCTGAGCCTCCGTAATAAAGGCGGCACTTTTACAGACATCTTTTAATGACAACAGCGCTGCATTCAGTAAGTCAGGCTAATTGCAGATGTACCCTATTAATTGCAAAAACTAGGAGAGGTTACATATTTTACAAGCTTTTAATTTGAAACCACCCGAGATGATTTGTCTTAAGTGTTTGGATAGAGACGTCCATAATATTCAGCAATTCACCATCATTGAAACTCCAGGCTAGGCGGTTATAGAATCCTGAGATGGAATCAGGTGAAAACAAATAGTCTTGGATGTGTTTTTGCCCAGTGGCTGTTAAGTGGAGGTTATATTTTCAACGGGGACATTGGACGATTTTTACTTTTTTTTTATAAAAGCATCATCTTGATTCTTCATCCTCATACATCTTTCTGAATATGGTAGAAATTCTGTATTTCTGGAGCTAACATTACAGAATTAACCTCAGTTCTTCAACATGCAACAGAAGGAAACATTGCTTCCACGGTTGAGCCACTTGAGAGTCTCGGCATCTCGTTTGTTTACTGGTGGCAAAGGGATGTCCAGAGTCGGGCTCGGGGTGGCGTTCCTTGGAGGGTAGTGGAAAGATCGTGGCGCATCTGTGCGTCCAGCAGTTAGGAGTTCCAGGGCCGTGAGCCAGTGGACCCACATGGGCAGGATTTGGCCACGAGCCAGTGGACATTTTATGTGACTGGTAATTTCACTTCTGCTGTACTTCGGGCCCCAAACAGTTGTCATTGTTTCCATGTCCCATTCCTCTCTGTGCACACGTGGTGCCGTGCCTGGAGTAGAGCAGGCATGGAGCATTCTCCTGTCCCGGTTGGCTGTCGTCCCACGTCCTACCTGCTTCTTGACTTCTTAGCAGCCTCTGCTCTCCTAGGAGGAGGTGGAAATGAAGATGGAATGGGGATTGCTGCCTGTCCGGAATCTCAGTGGGAGATAGACATGTGGAGGAGCTATTGAAGCTCCTGGCTTCTAAAAGGCCCAGGACCAGTGGGATGCGTTCAGGGTGGAGCAGTGCATCTTGGACAGCCTGCTTTTCTTCACTGGACACTCGCTGCCAGGGTGGGGCTGGTGGCAATGGAGTAGCAGTGTTGCCCCAGAGAAGTGGGTGGAGGCGAGGCCTGGGAGAGCCCGTACGTGCATTTGAAAGCCTGTGAGTCCTGAGGTGTTTACTGCTGCATTTGTCATAAGGTTAGAAAGTCAGGAAATGGTTAAATCAGATGTGGCCTTCAAGGTAGGATTGTGCAGGCACTGAAAACTGAATAGGAAGATGGCAAAATAATAGTCATAATAATAACACAGCTCTCACCTGTCAAACCTTTAATCGTATCCGGTATTAGAGCTCTTAGCTCTGAAGTTTGAGTGTATTATGACGTGAGAAGACTTTCTCTTTTCCTCTTTCAAAATTTTCTTAGCCCTTGTTACACCCTTTCATGTTCTATTGAACTAAAAATATTCGAATCCTTGTTTATTAAGTTAATACCACTTCTGAGGATGTTGAATTTTAAATTTAAGAAATTTAAAAATTGTATGATTATGATTACATGAATTGTGGTATTAGTTTTCCTAGCATTAGCTATTCTTCTATTCCTGCGATGCCTTATTAGCTTAATGTAGTGCTAGATTTTATTTATAAAGTAATGGACCTCTAGTCAGGGTGGGGGTGCGGGTACGTACACAAGTGTGTTGCGTCCATCAGATTTGAAAAGAGGGTTTTGCTAGCCTTAAAATAATGACTTGGAATGCATTCTGTCTTTTTCTGTGTTTCAGAACAGTTTAAATAACAGGGTTGATTCCTACATCACTCTAAAACCCCTTGGGTCTTGCAGACTTCTGGTGGGAAACTATACCATTTTTTTCAAGTTCTTCATTATTGGTCTGGTTGGTTTGTCTCATTTTTTCTTGGGTCCATTTTGTAATTCATTTTTTTGAAACACCCGTCCTCTGTCGATGTTCAGGTTCTTTGGCGTTAGATTTGCACACGGCATGGGCTAAGATTTCAGTTCTCTGCATCCGCGGTCGACTCCTTTATCGTTTCTCACGCTGCCCATCCGAGTCTGTTCCTCGGGCTGACTTTTCAGAGGTTTGTCTGGTTTTTGGTCTTTTCAAAGAGTCACTTAGGTTTTTGCTTTACCAGCTCTACCAGGTTTGTTCCTTAAGCTTCACTAGTTTTTGTTTTTACCTTACTGTCTCAATGTGCTGTTTTCAGCTGACGGCATTGGCCGCGTGGTTTGATCTCAGCCCCAGCGGAGAGGGAGGATTCTGTGTGGGCTAAGGCTCTGCTGAGAGCTGTTACAAGGAGCCCACTGCTGGCGACACTCAGATCTTTGGCTCCTTATTTTTAAATTTGCGATTATCCTTAGTCTGTCTTTCTGTCTTCTGACCGGCGAACTCAGAGGCTGTGGCCGCATCCACTGCCGGTCGTGGGCGAGCCGCTTTGCCAGCGCAGCTCCGAGGGCTGTGCTTCGGGCAGGCAGTGGCTCTTCTCTCTGGTGTGCTGTCTCCTTAAAATGCAAACTAGCCCTGCCTTTTCTGTTCAGTTCTTTTTGTCTGATATTTGTATTTCTAATCCTGCCCTGTTTTTTGTTTGCGTTTCCTTGGTACATCTTTGATAGTTCTCTTACTCTTAATATCCCAGCGCCAGTCTGGTTTGGGTCTCTTAAACACGAGGCTGGGTTTTGGCCATGCTCTCCCTGCTGACAACCCGCCGACGTGAATGTTTCGTCTGAAACCAGCTATCTTATTTTCTGGTCGTGATATTGTCTGCTTTTTATATTTCCCTAATTCTTTTTCTATTTCTTGTTAGTATTTTTTCCCTGATAGTGGTTTTGATAGCTCTATAATTTATTTCTTTTCTAGTATTTGTGCTGAAGTAGCAACTATTAATCAATAAATGGGGTTAAATTTTTTTTACAAATGTATTTCAACCAATTTTTCTCTCCTGATAAGGAATTTAATGGTATTCATCACCTGTGCCCCGTTCTGCCCTTGGATAAGAGGAGAGTTTTAGTACACTCTTATTTTCCCCTCTTTTCACTCTAGGCTTTGTTAAATTAAACTGGAATTATAGTAATGCAAAAATATATTCCTTTTTATATTTTAGATCCCTTCTTAACAGCTTCATTAATATTTAAAACAGTGTTTTAATATTTACTTAATTACTGTTTTAACAGTCTGTTTTAAGAACTGGTAGATATGCTACATGTGATCGTCCCTTACAAGGGTTTTCTTTTGTAGTAGAGTAAGAGGCAGTGTTGCCTAATAGTTAATAGTAACCAGCTCTGGAGTTGGCCGCTTTTCTGCGCTCAGATCCTGGCTCCATCACTTACCAGCTGTTTGACCTGATGGTATTATTTACCATGTCTAAGCCACGGTTTTCTCATCTGTAAATCGGGGTTAATAAGGACATCTGTCCTGTCGCAGCGAGTGGCAACAAGCGCTCCATCTGTGCTGAGCACCGCGGTCGGGAGCTCTGTGTCTGCTCTTGCGCAGAGAGCAGTGGCCTGGGCACCCTCCTTCCCCCGCCCAGGGAAGGGGCTGCCTTCATTTGGTGACTGCACACTTGCCCTGGCTGGACATCGCGAGCTGCACCTAGCCCATCTCTTGCTGGTTTGTCTTCTGTCCTTGCCTGTCTGAAGGTGGAATTCATTTACTTCTTTCTGTCAAGCGTGACTGCTAGTTTGGATCAATGCAGGATTCCAGGGTCACTGCTTTCTCCCTAGAATTATGCGAAGATTTTTCCCTTTGCTCTCTGACATTTTTAGTGTTGGCAGAAAAGATAATCCAATGCAGGTAGAATCCTTTTCCTCTTAAGGGAATCATTTCTCTTCCCGTTTTGTTCTGACCAGAAGCTACAGCATTTTTTCTTATTTTTCTTTATTTTTGGAATTCAGACATCTAGCAGGTGTATACCCAGGTGTGTATGGCTTTTTCTGTATTTCTGCTTGACACTCTAGGCTGTTTTACTCTGTAGACTCCCAGTCTCTTCTCAGGATTTTTTTCTATCATTTTTTAAAAATCACTTTTTTAATACCGTTTCTACTCTCGCCTCCTGGAATTCACATTATATGTTGTTAAAGCTACTGGATTTGTTGTGTCTCCTTTCTTGCTTTTGTTTTGAAATAATAAATCACTTTCCATCTACGTTGTTGTTTGACGTACAGGATGTTTTGGAAAAAATAAAAATTGGGCAAGTGTTCACATGTTATGCCTTTCACTGGTCCTCTTTTGAGCCCTCCTCCCCCGCAGTAGTGGATTTGTTAGTCAGTGTTCACTACTTACAGATTAATGAAACATAAAATAAACTTCCAGTGCTGATCAGGTAGAATTATGTTGTATGTGTTATGTTTGTGTACATTTATGAAAGTGCTTTCGATTGCATCACGATCGCAAGGTTGATTTTAAGAGTCATGCTCATTTAACTTTTCATTTCCAACTGGCTTTACTATTTTGTCATCGTTTTAGGAGAAACTAATTCGAGACATCGCTCACTGTCATGGAATTTTGATCACTTCTTACTCCTACATTCGACTGATGCAAGATGATATTAGCAGGCACGACTGGCACTATGTGATCTTGGACGAAGGACACAAAATTCGCAACCCAAATGCTGCCATCACCCTTGCTTGCAAACAGGTGTGACCTCTTACAACAAGCGGGGTTTCCACATGGGTAATATTTAATTGAGAATAAACTCTCTGCTTTGAGTAACACACTTATTGAATCTTTCCTTGTGCTTTTTGCAGAAGGAGTTTGAAATACACATTTTGCCTTAATGCAGAAAACGTTTTATTCTTGCCTTTAATCGTTTTTTCTAAAATTCAAATTGTTCACATTACTCACTGTCTCTTGTAGGGGTCCATTGTTAGAATGTAACCAAATCCAACTCTAGTCCAGGGTCTTCAGCTTGAACAATAAGAAAAATCCTTCCCTGTATATATATTTTTATCTCTGTGTAATTGGAGAATTAAAGTTGCATAAAATGTCTGTGTTTGAAGGAGACCAACAAGATATGGAGTTGTGTTCAATAATAAGATTGACTGGGAGAGCTTTGGGGTAGGGTCGGTGATCATCTGTTAAAAGGTGAATTTAATTAAGAGAAAAGTTCTTTCTTTCCCTGCACAGTTCCGCACCCCTCACCGCATCATCTTGTCGGGTTCACCGATGCAGAATAACCTCCGTGAGCTGTGGTCGCTCTTTGACTTCATCTTCCCAGGGAAGCTGGGCACGTTGCCCGTGTTCATGGAGCAGTTCTCCGTCCCCATCACTATGGGCGGGTATTCCAACGCCTCCCCCGTGCAGGTAACGTATTCGGTAACACTTTTGGCATTTTGATATTTAAACCGTTGCTGCTAAATACTGTACTTTGTGGCCGAGTCATTCAGAATGTAAGGGAAATGGTATCTGATAAAAATCACAAAATTATTTTTGCTTGAAAGCTGATCATTTTCCATGTGGGTTTTAAAAAGATAATGTACAATATTCAAAAAGCAGTCAGGAATTATGAAACAAAAGTGGATCGGTTCTGGACAGCATGTAATAGTGCAAACTGGGGTAGTGCATCATATAAAGTAGCGTAAATGCTTTGAAAAGGGGAAGGCAGGGAAGACTTAACGAGACACGTGTCTTTTAATCTGATTCTGGGAAAACAGGTCGGGAAGAGCAGAGCATTCTAGGTTAGAGCAACAGTAAGAACGCGGCCACGTTATGTGGCTGTGGGCATTGAAGAGACACGCTTGATTGGACCGGAGATGCTTGTGGGGGAGTCGCAGGAGAGCTGTGGATGCCGGCAGTGGGGGGCCTTGACAGGGAGGCTGAAGGTCTTAGGCAGGGAAGAGCCACTGAAAGTGCCTAAGCAGGAGGCTGGGAGCGGGCGGTTCTCCGAGGGCTACTCAGGCTGCTGGTAGTTATGGGAGGGAGGTTGGCATCGAGGGGCCTGTGGGAGTTGTTGGGGGTGAAGGTGATGAGGGTCTGGACCTGGATGCGAGCAGTGGTCCCGAGAAAGAAGGTGGAGAGCAAAAGCCCAAAGTGGCATTTTTTCATGCGGAGCAAACAAGATGTGGAAATTGAGAAGATAAAGGAAGTGGGATGTGGGGAGGTGGGTGAGCTTCCTGCAGCTGACACCTGAGGTTTCAGGCCTGGGTTACTGGTGGAATGGGGTTGTCACAGATGGGAGTGTCAGGAGGAGAAGCTGGTTAGAGGGCAGTTTGAGGCATTTGGGGGCAGGTTCCAGCCTCCAGGAGAGGCAGGGTCTCTGCACAGCCCTCAGGTGGGGGGGCCTGCACCTGCCAGGTAAGACTGAGCCAGAAATAAAGCCTGCCACCAAAAGAGACATTCACATATTTTGAAGTATTTAACTGGAAAAATAATTTTAGGCCTTTAAAATGAGAGGACTGTCAAAAAACATTTTATACCTTTTCAATTTTGAGATTGAATGATTTTTGATTTTTAATTAAATTTTATAAGAGCTCTCTTTCTTGACTGAATCCCTATTGCCTTTCATTTATCCTGTGGGGTTTTTTTTAAACTTTTTATTTTGGAGTAATTTTATTTTGGAGATTTAATGGAAAGTTGCAAGAATTGTAAGAAGAACTCCTGTGTACTCTTCGCTCACATTGACTAATTGTTAGCATTTTGCTAACATTTTACCACATTTGCTTTATCTTTCCTTCCTTCCCTCTCCCCTACCTGTCTCTTATTTACACAAATTTATACTTTTTTATTTTTCTGAATCATCTAAGAGCAAGTTGCAGACCCATTGCCCCTTTCCTCCAAGTCCTTCAGTGTGTATTTTCTCAGAATAGGGACATTGTCTTACATAACCATAGAATAAACATCAGAATCGGGGGAAATGTAACCTTGATGTGATTCTGTTATCCGCTGTGTGTGTCGTTCACGTTGGGCAAGTTGTTCCAGTCATTTCCGTGTCTCTTTAGTCTCCTTTCATCTGAAGCCATCCCTCTAATCTTCCTTTTGCCTTCATGACCTTGACACTTGTGAAGACTGCAGGCCTGTTATTTTGTAGAATGTGCCTCGCCTTGGGTTTGTCTTCTATTCTTCATGGTTCGATTCCGACTACGTGTCTTTGACGTCTGTCCCAGAAGTGACGTCTTTCTCGTGCCTTGTCTCTGGAGGCACCACTCTGTCGGTCTAGCCCTTCATTGTGGTGATCTGACTCTTTGGGTAAGGTGGTGTTTGCCAGATTTCTAAACTCTTTGAAGTTGCTTCTCCTTTATAATGAGTAAGTCATCGATGGGGAGATACTTCGAGACCATGTAAATATGGTCTGTTTCTTCCCCAAAGTTGCTGTTTTAGAAGCTTGTGCACTTCATCTTTTTTCCTTTTTAGATTGTAAAGTCCTTGGGTCAGAGGTGTGGTTTTTATTTGCTCCTTTTTGTTGACATCTATAGTCACCAAAAATGACTGAGTCTCTAGAAGGTAGCCTGTCAGCAGATATTTATTGTGTCAGGCTGGGGCTGAAATGATGGGAGATGGCTGACAGTCAGAACCTGCCCTTGAACAGTATTCCCAGCCCAGGGAAGAGCGTGCGAAGGGGAGGTGGTAAGGAAACATGATCACAGTGCAGGGTAGTAAGGACTGTGATGAGGGATGATGCCAGTGTCAGAGCTTGTGGGAGGCCAGACAGGCTTCCTGGGCAAGGGAGGATTAGGACCTAAAAGGGGGAGGAACATTAACTGCCAAAAACATGGACTGCTTCTTGGATTTGTGTGTTAAGCTCGTGCAGGGGAGTTTAGACCTGAAAAGAACCCGAGCAGACATCTGGTTGAACCTTCTCGTTTCATGCTCAAGGGCATTGAGACTCAGCATTTTGGCGACTTGCCTAAGGTCGCTCAGCTCTGGAAGAGGCAGGACTGGGGAGTAGTTACCACTCTGCTTTGTCAGGAGCAGGAAGGAAGCGGGGGCGTGCTCAGCATGATGTCCACTTTCCGTGGCACTGGGGAGGTGGGAGTGATGGAGAAACACAGCTGGAGCCCCACCACCTGCTTTTACTCACAGAGACACTGACACAAGAGGCAGTCGAGAATTGACCACAGAATCATCTCTATTGCCTAAAGCACAGGAGTCCCAGGAAAGCTGGGCTGGAGAATGTGGCCTGATGTCAAGGCTGAAATAGGGTCTCTTGGTCTTCCCTGTTCTCACGTCCCCACCCCAGTCTAGAGCTTTAGATCTTCCTCTGGGGAGAGCTGGGTGTGAAAAACAGACCCATCCCCAGCCTGAGCTCTGACCCTGGTGAGTTCACTGCAAATGGGCCAGGAGCAGGGGAGGAGGAAGAACTCTCCAGAAGGGTGGGCAGGCAGGAGAGAGCGGGAGCGGGCTGCCAGGCCACTGAGCAGCCCAGCCCTGGTTTTCCAGCGCCACCACAGCTCCCTCATTCTTCTGGAGGAGAGAACTGGGGGTAGACTTCAGCATGCGAGCAATGTTTCCTTAACACACGGTATGTATTTTTAGGAAGATTTTAAACAATGTACTTGCTCCCTTGGTAGGACTGCAGTGTCTTGTTTAATTCTGAAATTTAATCACCTCTGCATTGCAAACCATAAAATATACCTGATCATCGTAAAGGTAATTTTTATCAAGGTCTGAATGATACGTTTACAGGGTTCTTGTTAACTACAAGTTGTTGATTAGTGGAGCTTCTTTGCTGTTTTCCTGCTGGTCCAAGTAAAACTGTTTTAATATTTATGCATACAAGGTTTACACACATGCATGCACATACATGTATATTGACTTGACTGAGGTGTTCTTAGGATCTTTTAAAATGTTTTATTTTTTTTACCACGTTAATCTCATTGGCATGAATTTCTGTATGGTTGATCTCTTTTTCTTATTCACTTTGCAGCTAACTTGCTCAGATTTAAGCATTGCTTGGAAATTTTCTTATTCCATTAAGTAGTAATTTACTAGGTTGTTAAGCCTGTTTAGATTTTTTTTTAAAGTATCAATAATTTAGTGAATTCTTTGTTTGCCTTTAAGTGACTTGCAGAGGGAGTGGTTCCCTGCGCTGTGGGTCTCTGTTTTCCTGCGTACAGTTAATACCCATCTCGTACGGCTGTGTACCATTACGGACCCATGTGCTCCATCTTAGGCTGGAGTGACCTTTCGTTTCTGGGATCATAGGGCTTTCTTGAGCTCGCTCTCCGAGTCTCCAGTGGGCAGTAATCTCTGCTTATTATCTGGTGTTCCCATTGCGACGGCGTTTCCCCCGGGTTAGCGTTTGATCTCCAGTCTTGTGGAGTAGCAGTTCCTTTTAGCTTTGCAGAGTACAAGATTATAAGCTGAGATTTGTTTGAAAGCAGTTTTTTCCCTAAAGGGTGGTCGAGAACCGAACAACTCTCTGCTTTCGAGTTTAACTAAATAATAGTAATTAAATAGAGGTGGAACAGGGCACAGAATTACCGGTTGTTCTTTTGTACACTTTGGTTTATAGGAAGTTTTTATTTTTACTGATGATATTATTATAAAAGCTACCATCTCCTGGGAGTACCTAGAACTTAATGCTAATTTTTCCCAACCATTTTCCAACCATGTCCAACAATTCTGTACAACCACTGGTCATTCTTTTAAAAAAAAATTTAAAGCATCAGAATCAGTCGAGAGGTAGGAATAAATGTACTCCTCAGATGTGTAGTAATTGTTTCCCTATTTCTCTTATTAAAGGTCAAAACTGCTTATAAGTGTGCGTGTGTCCTACGAGATACCATAAATCCGTACCTGCTGAGGAGGATGAAGTCGGATGTCAAAATGAGCCTTTCATTGCCAGATAAAAATGAACAGGTCTGTAAATCCAAGGGCGCCCAGAGCAAGCCTGAGGCGCAGGTGTGCCTGTCCATTCACTCTCCTGTTCACACGCAGGGTTGGTGAGGCCAAGGGTGTGGTTGCTGGTGCTGTGGGGCGGGCTGGTCTACATCTGTGTGTGCCTGCAAGTCCCCAGTTCATGCTACAGCTTGTATTAGGCACCAACCCCATACCTGGGAGATAGCAGTGAGCACGCACCCGTTTGTGGCCAGGGAGCTCACGTTCATTCTTGAGGGGACAGAGTCATACAGAAATATCAGGTGGCAAGTGGTGATAAATGTGGATTAAAAACAAGCAGGGGGTTTAGGGCGGTGCCAAGGGCCAGGATTTGGGGAGGCAGGCTTTTCTGAAGGGGTGGTCAGAGAAGACTGATAACCTGACCTTTGAGCAGAGGCCTGAAGAAGGTGAAGGAGCAAGTCACGGAAGTTTGGCAGAAGAGCATTCCATGTGGTCGGAATGTGGCAGGGCGCTGGTACACTCAGGGCCCAGCAGGGAGGCCAGTGTGGCTGGAGGGCAGGAGCCCCGAGGAGTGTGGTTAGGGGGAGAAGCCAGGTTGCGGCCAGAGGCCAGATCACAGGGGCCTGCTGGTCATGGTGGGGACTCTGGGTTTTACTCTTGATGGGGGAGGCAGTCCATGGGGAGCTACCAAACAAAGCAGTGATGTCACCTGACTCAGGTTTTAAAAGGATCATCCTTTTAAATTCCGTCCTAGTGTCCTGTCATCTTGGTAGACGACTACACCTTCTGTTCAGCATCTAAAAGAAAGTGCATCGTAGACTTTGTTGAAATGATAAAAGATCTTGGAGCTCTGTCATCAAGGCTGCTTTCATCCCTGCCTCTTCCCTCTCCCAGAACTCATCTCCACATTCAGCCCTTGACCTTAGCATCCCCTTACCGAGCTCCGTTTCCTGCCAGGTACTCAGGCCACAGTGCCCTGAGCTGTCTCACTTCCACATCAGCCAGTTGCTGTGGACTGGATTAGTTTTTCCAAGGCTCCTCATCCACCTACCAACATACCTTCCGTGTCCCTGTCCCCTCCAGGAATACTGATTTAGCTGATTTGTACCAATTTATTTTTATTGTGGAATCCCAGAATGTCTCCTTGTGTTCCACGAAGTAGCCAAGACAAATCTCTTTCTGTTTTCTAAACACTTGCCACTTGCCTTTGTATTTGCATGTAATGTCCCCCCCACAGCTGGGATTTCTCTCCCCCAGCAAACACATAGAGAGATGCTAAGATCCCACAGGGCTCTGCACGGGAATCCCTGCTACACGGGGACTCCCTGAGGTTGGGGCTCTGTCTTACCCATCTGAAAATGCCGTGTAACCTGGAGAAAGTGATATGCAGACAACAGACAAATGAACAGTTTGGTGAATTGATTCGTTTATTCAGTTAACTTTGTGATTGAAAGGAAGGATTTTTCTCTTGCCGTTGTATATAAAGGATTGAAATGTGAATATAAGAAATTAAGACTATAAGCACTCGGGTTCATAGTTTAGAAAGATTATCCAGGCAGTGTATGAAAGCATCGGAGGGGAGAAAAACTGGAGGCCAAGGGCTGAGTCGGCTAGTCCGACGGAGTCCTCGGGAGGGGAGAGTAGCTGGCGGGGCTGGCAGGAGGGGGCTGACGGGCCCGGGACGCCCAGGTTTCCGGCTTAGTTGCCGGATGGCTCTGCTGCACAGAGGCTTCGTGAGGACGAGGATGCAGAGGAGACAGCTGGTGAGCTCAGGCTGGATGTACTGGACGTGCCCGTGGAGCGCCTGCTCACCCGAAAGGCAGTTACCTGTGGGCCCAGAGCCCTGGGGAGAGTTCTAGGCTGCCGCATAGCTGTGACCTTGGAGCCAGGAAGATGTTAAAGTCAGGCTTGGGGATGGGCTGGCTGAAGGAGTCTGTGTAGAATGAGAAGAGACATGCAGCCCAGGGGAACTGCACACTGAGGGAGAGGGGAGAAGAGGCGGAGCTGGCTGGGAAGACAGGAAGCTGAGGCAGGGCGGCAGGAGGTGGGTTAGGGGAGGTGGAATGGTGAGGCCGTGGGAGCGCGTGTGTCTGGCGGCTAGGAGGGCGTTGGTGAAGCCGTCCACGACGGGGTCACTGGTGTCCGAGGAAGCGCCCTCCGGGCTTGTGCCGGATCAGGAGTGGCTGGGAGGGGAGAAAGTGGAGGTGGCGCTCATACGCATCCTTTCAGGGAGTTTTCCCCTCAGCCTCCGGGAGTGTAAGGCGTGGAGCACTGCCCTGAGGGATGTGGGTGGGTTTCAGATCTGGTACAAAGATGGGAGGGCTGTCCTGGATCCCACGCAGGGGCCTCTTCGCCTGAGATGAAGGCAAAACCACAAGGTGAAGCAGATGAGGAAGTAGCTACCTTTTCGGGAGTGACGACTGGGGACCTGACTGAATGGCTTCAGGTTCCGTTTCTGTTGGTTTGCTTCTGTTTGATGATGTTAAGTGGAAGCTGAGGCACATGTGGGTGGTGGGTGGGTGGCTTGGGGAGAGAGGAGCTTGTCAGAGCCATCGGGATGTGAGGACGGGCTGAGCAGGGTCTTGCCTAGGACTCCCCCGGCGACCAGGGGCTGGCAGTGGAGCACGCTGCCCAGGTGGGATGGGCTCCGGCAGTGCCCAGCACTTACAGAAAGGAGGAGGGAAGGCAGGCAGTCGAGTTGTTCTTCGTTTGGAAGTTACAGGGCAGATCAGTGGGTGGCGGAGGGGTAGCTGAAGGAAAATCCCATGGATTTATGACTAGCCAGGGCGCAGTCAGGCCGTGAGGTGGTGGCAGTGGTCTTGGAATGAAGAGGTGGGCTGAGAGGCTGAAGTCAGGGAGGGTGATGGCATGGGGTGGTGGGCACAGTTGGGCTGGCAGGATCGGGGTTGTTGTCAGAGACAAGTCTGGTAAACTTGTGTTTGGCTTAGAACTCCAGGAAAGAGGGCGAGCCAGGCAAGGTTAAGGTTAAGGTCCCTGGTCAGGTGTGCTGAAGTCAAGTTGAGGTGAGGGGCTTGGGAGCTGAGGTGGTCTGGGCACTTGAAGGCTAGGATGGAGGAAACACTATGCACCTGGTCTCAAAGTTCCCTGTGAGCAGAAAGCCAGTCTTTGGGGACGGGTGGAATAGAGGGGTGGGGACCAAGTAGCATGGGGACCAAACGGTGGATGGATGACAGAAATGGAGGGGGCCGTGGAGAGGGGCGAACTGTTCTTTGTGCAACTCTGAGATGTGGTACTGGTTTTTTTGTTTGTCTTTTTTTCTGTTTTTAATAAGAGTTACATTGTTAAAATTGTGTACACTGTGCTTTTTTGATTAGAAATTTTGTTGATATTTTAATTATTTTGTTCTGTTAAACTTTTCTTTTCAATTCTGTTTTTATTCTCCCCCTAGGTCTTATTTTGCCGACTCACAGATGAGCAACATAAAGTCTACCAAAGTTTCATCGATTCCAAAGAAGTTTACAGAATTCTCAATGGAGAGTTGCAGGTCAGCTGAAGAATGGAAGCTGGAGAAATGACTTGTGGTCCAAGGGAAGTGAGGGGTGGGTAGGGGAGGAAACGAGCCCTAGTCATGGATTCGCTGTTATTGCCCTCTTGAAAACACCTGGGTGTGAACCTTCCCTCTATTTGAAGCCCTTCCAGGAGTGCGAGGACCGACAGTTTCATTTGAGCACGCTCCCTTTTTAGCTGTACCGCAGCAGTGTCAGGCTTGAGCCCAGCACCGTGTGGTTTAGCACCGGACAGCGGGATCGGCGTGGGGAGTCCGACAGGGACTGCTGATCCTGTCCAGAGTGTAGGGGGCAGCCCCCGACTGCTGGGGTTAGCAGGTGCACAGAGGAAGAATTATTTATTACGTGCTTCTGTTTAGTAAGTAGTAACATTTTAGTTATGGGCTATACTCAGCCATAGCTGTGGGTAAATGTCTGTTCATTAAGCACGTGCAGTAAGTTCATGTAAACACTTGAGCTTCTTTGTGCTTCAGTACCTTAAAGTGTCAACTGTACTTTATGTGACATGCGAGGCTCCCTTAGTCCTTGGTCCGTCCTTGTCGGGAGTGTAGCTGAGTAGCAGGGATGCTCTGAAATACACTCTGCTGCTTTTTTACGTGGAGGCAGAGGGAGATGAATGTGGGTGGCGAGGCTGCCTGTGTTCTGCAGCATCACCTGCTTTTTCTTCCAGATTACGTCATTTCTGTTCTTTTAACCATCTCTCACAATTTATTTCATCTAGCATGGCATCTGTAGGAGGCTTTTAAGTCATTCACGTTTATTCCTCTCTCCTGTATCTCCCCTTAACTTATCTTCATGTGCCTCCAAGTTGTGAAGCCTCAGGTGGCCTATCACAGGCCACACGTGTAATTGTGAATGTTCTAGTCATCACAGTAGAAAAGATAAAAAGAAAAGAAAAGAAAAAGAAAAACAGGTGAACTCAATTTTGGTAATAATTTTATTTAACCTGATATGTCTAAAATATCATTTTAATATATAATTAAAATTTTAAAATTACAGAGATGTTTTATTCTTTTTTATACTGTCTTCAAAATTGGGCATTTTACATTGGGAGCACCTCTCATTTGGAACTAGCCACGCTTCCTGTCTCGGCAGCCACGTGTGGCCGGCGCCTGCTGTCCTGGGCAGCACAGATCTGGAGGGGGCAGGCGAGCGCTGGCACTGTGCCTGCTTTGTTCAGATCTTTCATTGCTCATTTAACTGTTCACTAGTTTAAAACTACCGTACTCTGATTTTTGGCTTGCTTTATGATTTACCTTTTTCCCGTTTGAGCTTGTATACTGGTGAGTGTGATCTGAGTCACATGCAGAAAGCTGTGAAAGATGCCCTCTTGCTGGGACGGGTGGGCGGGCTGTCAGTCTGGGTCTCCTCTCCTGCTGCGTGAACCATCCTGCATATCCTTCCCATCCGTGTATGTTTCCTGATACACTAATGTAAAGGTAAATGGAACGTCAACCTCTGACTCATATATTAAGCTATGGAACTTTCACTGAGGTCCTTAGGAGTGCAGTATTTAAATGCATTCGCTAAGTTAATGACAGATTTCTCCAAGTATTAGACGGGCATGGCATTTCTTATTTATATTCAAGAGATGAGTCAGTTTTTTATATACTGTGAACTGCGTACCTTTTTTCTTAGAGGGAAAATAAGTCGTTAGCCATTGAATATGACCGTGGTAGACATGTTTGGCCCGACGGGGTTTTTTTTGTCTTAGAAAACTTACCCTATCAGGAAAAAAGAGGATGTGTAAGGTTGGTTTCTTCCGGCTCCTAACATGCTGTGATTTGGGAGGAAACTAAGAAGCTGATGAAGAATTACTTTTTAATCTGTGTTGCATTTCAAACAGCCTTCTTCCTTTCCTTCCCGAGTGAATATTATTTTACATGGAGTAATCTGAGTGCACGTAATTCTTTTATACCGTAGATTTTCTCTGGACTTGTGGCCCTAAGGAAAATCTGCAACCACCCTGACCTCTTTTCTGGGGGCCCCAAGAATGTGAAAGGTGTTCCAGATGAGGACCTGGAGGAAGATCAGTTTGGCTACTGGAAACGTTCTGGGAAAATGATAGTCGTTGAGTCCTTGTTGAAAATATGGCACAAGCAGGGCCAGCGAGTATTGCTCTTTTCTCAGTCAAGACAGGTGCGTGTACAAACCTCATATGGAAACACGCCGATTCTTTGTACTTACAGCCATTAATTCAAAAAATGCGATTTAACCTAAAATAACGATTCCAAAGGCAAATCCACCCACTGGTACTGAGGTGGCAGCCTGCACATCTCTTCGGGAGATTGGATCTTTCTCTAGAATTTGTGCCCAGGAGTTGGCTTTTTTAGAAAGGCTTATTTACCATGTGATTCTGGGGCGCTGATGAGTTTGGGTCCGAACTCAGTTAAATGCCCTGCTGTTTACAAAACTTGCAGGAATGAACAGTATGGAAATACCAAAAATTCTTTTGTAGTGGTTATATTTATCTGCCTTGAACCAAGAAACCCCTTTTAATTCCAGCCTGTTGGGGAGGGTGTGAGCGTTCACACACAGGTGGAGAACTCACTGCAGGTGTGCATTTGATTTTGAAGCTCTTATCCCCCACCCCATCTGCCAAACAGATGCTGGACATACTTGAAGTATTCCTTAGAGCCCGAAAGTATTCCTACCTCAAGATGGATGGTACCACTGCGATAGCTTCAAGGCAGCCACTGATTGCACGATACAACGAGGTAACAAGTGAATGTAGCGGTAAAGTCCCATAGCGCCCCCAGGTGCGGACGGCGAGGGAGGAGAGGGCTGCGCCCACAGCGCCTACATCTGGGATTGGGCAGTGGGTGCTTTTAACTCGGTGCATTTCTGGATTATTGGGGGTGGGGGTGTGCTTAAACAAAGAACGTGAATTCCTTTTTGAAAACCCAGCTTTTAAATATTGCTAATATGATGGATATTAAAAGTGGGAGCTGTGAGGTGGGATCTTGACTGACCAGAGGTCTCTAGGGCATAGCCCTTTGCTCATACTGGGACCCGGTGTCCATGTGTAGAGTGTGGCAGGGCAGCGGGGAGGAGCTGTGACTGGTGTCAGATGTACATACTGAGTGTCGTGCATCTTATTTACCTCTAGGACACGTCCATATTTGTGTTTCTCCTGACCACTCGGGTGGGTGGCCTCGGAGTCAACCTGACGGGGGCAAACAGAGTCATCATCTATGATCCTGACTGGAACCCAAGCACAGACACGCAGGTCTGCTTATTTATTTATGTATTTAAAGGAGTGTGTCAGTGGCATACCGTGTCACTCGGCAGTGTCCTTTGGTGCCATGCTGGCCTCAGCGCTAACTCACATCTTGGCTGTGCCTTGTCTTCAGCATAGAGGGGGACACCCTAAAGTGGCATAGACAGGAAGGGTCTTCCCAGTTTGTCCACAGCGCCCACGCTAGACCTGGATAAAGAGAGAATGTGGGTGGGGACAGGCGCACCTTGTGTTTCAGGTAGAGCCAGCCCGGTCTGTCTCTGCCACCTGCCTGTTTATCTCCTCAGTAAGCCTTAGGTCTTTCTAGCCTCATTAGCCACACTACTAACTTCGGGAGTGGAGGGAAGCCACCAGCTGTTAGTCAGCACTTGCCGCCGAGAAGGGCCCTCATTGAGACGTGTCTCTCTGCCGCAGGCCCGGGAGCGCGCATGGAGGATTGGCCAGACGAAGCAGGTGACGGTGTACAGGCTGCTGACCGCGGGCACCATCGAGGAAAAGATTTACCACCGGTCAGTGCACACGGCCGCTCCCCACCCCGGGGCCGCTCCCCTGGCCGCGTGTGTGCGGGACGCCCCCAGCGTCTGCTGCAGGGGCGTTTTAAACTAGTCCTCTAAGATGTCTTTCCATCTTAGAGCAGTAGTTGCTATAATTTACACGATATGTGTGTGTGTGTGTGTGTTTATTTTGTTTTGTTTTTTGTATTTTTTTTCTTTTTCATTAAAATAAGCTTAGATGGCTTATTGTGTGTTTTTAAAAAACGTGTTTGAACCTGATTGTTTTTCTGTCTTACTAAACCAGTGTGTAAACTTTGTTAATTGTTATTTGAGAGAAATGTTCCTGCCTACTGCCGTGTGCCATCTTCTTTCACAGAAATGTTAAGAGGTGACCGAGGTGAAGTTCGCACGCACTGCGGCTTACACCCCCCCACGCGGTGTGATCAGGGTGGGGCTGGGGCTTTGGCTCCGACACCACTTAGAGGTTGACCAGGACACCTGCTTCTGGCTCCATCTCACTGCCCAGGGACCGGGGGTTTGGCAGGGAGACTTCCCTGGTAGCGTAGGGATAGTGCCACCTTCTCCCCAGCCCCTGCAGGGAGGCCCCCCGCTTCCCACCGTGCGCAGGGCCACTCCCGGTTCATGTTCTTCAGGCGCCTTGTCATGAGAGGCCTGGAGCCGAGTTGAGTCCTGTGAGGAAGAGCTTCCTCTCAGGTGCACACTTCAGCCTGAAGAGTAATCACCTGGGAGAAGGCAGGACTCCTTTGTGAGTGTATCTGGGCCAGAGTGATGGTGGTGTGGAGCTTCGGCGTGGAGTGTGGACCAGCAGGTGGAAGCTGGGTGAGAAGGGCCCAGGTGAAAACTTGGCAAAGCCCAACAGACAGTTTCCTGATTCCCGTCACAGAAGGATCCTGAGTAGGACGGGGCCGGGGGAGCCTGGGGCCAGGAGGCAGGGAGGCCGACCCCCTCCAGCTCAGAGAGGCGGAGTCAAAGGATGAATGCGTGTGAAAAGGTGTTTCTTGAAATGTGATGAATCTTGGAAGTTGAAAAATCTCATTGGGTGTGAATAATAATAAGGCATTATTTCTAATGTAAATTCGGTAAAACATGGGAGACCACCTGATGTTTTATGTTCTTCCTGAATTGTAATTTTCTGAGGCTAAAAGTTTGGGGGATTATTTAGATATTTGTACAGCTACAGTTAATTATGTCTCTTATATTGTTTTATAATTAGAATTTTGAGGTACAGCTAAACATTGTTTCATACTGGTTTAATTTTTATCTTTTTAGACAAATCTTCAAGCAGTTTTTGACAAATCGAGTCCTAAAAGACCCAAAGCAAAGACGGTTTTTCAAGTCCAATGACCTTTATGAGCTGTTTACTCTGACTAGTCCCGATACATCCCAGAGCACTGAAACGAGTGCTATATTTGCAGGTATTACAGAAAATAATTTAACTTCGAGTAATGAATGACGTGAGAGTTACGCAGCGTAACATCTGCATGGTTTCCCCCTTCACAGGAACTGGTTCAGATGTTCAGACACCCAAACGCCATTTGAAAAGAAAATTTCCACCGGCCTTTGGAACGGACCCTAACGTCCCGATGGGCAAAACGTTTCCTGATTCTAACACATCTGCAAATGATGCCGCGTCCTCTGGAGAGAAATCTGCAGCTCCAGGCGCTGAAGTGAGTGCAGTCATTTCTAATCCAGATGGTCCTCCGAGCGATGGCCCCGAGACACCTCGCAGTCCCGCCGGCGGGGAGAGACTTGGAGAAGAGCCGGATGTGGCGTCCAGACCACAGGAGTCAGCAGGGACGAGTGGAAACGGGGAAGGTTCAGATTCTCCAAGAGTCAGCAAAACATGCAGGGCGCCTGGTGAGGACAGCATCGATGAGAGGGAGGGTCTTTCTGATAAAAGAGAAAGCTGCCAGGGTCCGACAGAACCTCTTTCGGAGAATGAGCAAACAGAAAATAATTTTCACAAGCACAAGTCAAAAACGAAGCATCGTGTGGCAGAGGAAGAGACCCTGGAGAAACATCCGAGGCCGAAGCAAAAGCCTAAGAACTCTAGACATGGCAGAGATGCCAAGTTCGAGGGAACCCGAATCCCACACCTCGTGAAGAAGAGGCAGTACCAGAGGCAAAACGCTGAAACTGAGAGTGAGACCCAGGAACGCAGCAGTGACGATTATGTTCTGCAAAAGCTTTTCAAAAAATCAGGTACTCCTCTTGCTGAGTTTGCCACAGGTGTGCTAGGAAGAAGATCACGTGTGGGTGCGGAAAGGGGCTCTCAACTCAAAAGGATTTCTTCTTCTAAAACCCAGATTTGAAACATATTGACATTTTTGAAAATTATATTCACCTGTCTTTCCTGAAGACCTAGGGGTCTTTGAACCTTGGGAGAACAAAAGTGCTTGACTTACTAAGCACATCCAGGAGGGATGCAGGGCTTAAAACAGATTTGTACCATCGGAACATTCGTAGGAGATGTCTCTGCATGCTGTGTTTATCTGATTTTCCAACCACAGGAGATTAGAGTGACAGATCATGGGGGAGAGAGGCAGGGGCATGGCCAGAGGCAGGCACGCTGGGAGTAGGAAAGCTGATGGCTAATATCTAGAGAGAGAAATTAGAGACACAGACTCCACAGTTGCTCAGGGCCCTGGAGGACAGGTGGTCCTGGGGAGCTTAGTCATCCCTGAGACTGTCATCTCGTTCAGGCCTCACCACTCACCGTCTTCCCAGTGTGATGGCCTCAAGTCACCAGAGGTCGCTGAGTGGGCCTCTGTTCAGGAAGGCAGGTTTACGTACGTGTGGCATCTCCACTGGTAACTATTTTTTCTGCAGTTCCTGGTCTGTTTCCTAAGAAGTGAGCTATTTTGTCTCATTTTCAAATTCCTTTACATGGAGGCACAGAAAGCACTCTTGTAACAATTTTTTAAAAAATTGGCTTCTGTTTCACGATAATTTCCCCCTTGTCATTTCTAATTTTGTATATTTTTCTCCCTTTTTCCTTGGTCAGGTTAAGCTACTGGTTTATTTTGTGACCCCCCACCCACCCAGTAAACCAGGATTTTGATTTATTAGTTAGATCCGTGGTTGTTCTCTGTGTCATTAATTTTTGCTTTTATCTTCATTACTGTCTTCCTGGTTGCTTTCATTTTTGTTGTTGTGTTTTGCTGAGCTTTTTAGTCTTAATTTTTATAAAACTACTTCATTTGGAACTTAGTTCATTTATTTTTATTCTTTCCTTTTTATTGCTGTTACGTATTTAAGGTTCTGAATTTTCCACTGATAAATGCATCAGGTTCTTCTGATACGTAGTGTTTTCGTGATCATTACTTTGTAGAAATTCTCTAATTTGGGTTCATATTCTTATATTTTCGCCCTTCAATAAAGACTGTATTAGTAGAAGGTTTTATTATTGTCCAGATAGCAGGGAGGAGGCGGTGTTGCAGTGCGGTAATGAAAGCGTTATGCTTCAGTTACTACATAGCGGGGATAGTCGATGGACCCTCCCGCGTCCGGCAGGGATGCAGGTGAGGAGCAGCAGCATCTGAAAGTTCCGAGGTCCCAGAGGTCCCGGGGAAATAGCAGCCAAAAACATCCACTAGTTTGTCTCCACCCGCGGTGCCCCAGACTGTACAGAAGAAGCACTTGACAGTGTACGAGCCGAAATAACACGTTCGCTGTCTCTCTTGCTCTCGCAGTCGGCGTGCACAGTGTCATGAAGCATGATGCCATCATGGATGGAGCCAATCCGGACTACGTGCTGGTGGAGGCGGAGGCCAACCGCGTGGCCCAGGATGCCCTCAAAGCGCTGAGGCTCTCCCGGCAGCGGTGTCTGGGAGCGGCGTCCGGTGTTCCCACCTGGACCGGCCAAAGGGGTGTTGCCGGTGCACCAGCAGGAAGAAAGTAAGAGGTTGCTGCCCCGCCATGCTTGCCCAAGCTGGGAATGAGGTCAGGGCAGGTGGACACCTCCTCCTGTTCATCTGCAGGGGTAGAACATCTCTCAGGGAGGGACTGGGTCAGCCCGATTTGCGTGGCGTGGGGAAGTGCACTTACACTCTTACCATCTTGGCTTTCAGTTCCTCCTTTCTGAAGCTAGTTTTTCAGAGAAGGGAGAAATGATCTGTTTGGCTGAAGAGATACCATTAAAAATAGTAAGAGATACTGAATGAGGATTAAAATTTAATATGATGAGTCACGTTTCAGTAACCAGTAATTCCTGTGCTGTTCAGTGTGCTCTTTCAGAGTAGTTTTCCTGCCTAGAATTTGTGGGTGGTATCCATCATGTGTTGACCAAGGATCTTAGTGGTCCTTACTTGAAAAGCAGTAGTGGTTTCCCGGCAGAAACAGGCGTCTAGGGGACAGAGCAGAAGCGTCACAGCTGTGAAAGAACAACTGTGCAAAGGGGAATTTGTCCAGGAAGCGTTTCGTGGTGGACAGGGCATTCTCATCTCTAAGTCATGAAGTAAACATTTTATCTACTGTGATTCTTTTCCTCATTTAGGAGCCGATTTGGTCAGAAAAGGAATTCCAGCTTCTCTGTGCAGCAGCCTCCTTCAGCATCTCCGAAGGAGAAATGCCAGGTAACATGATAGCCTGTCTGCTTTCCACTTGTGAGACTTAATTGAACCGCCATGAGAATTTCCCCCAATCCCGCAGGTGAAGCAAAGCGCTGGCATAATGACATCTGGTGTTTGTCTTGTGTGCTCTGATTTATGGAGCACTTTCATTTGAACTTGAAAGGGCCAGCCAGCCTCCTAGAAAAGACAAAGTCTTTAACCCAAGGTCTACAGTAGGGTCTCTCTTTTGCCCTCCAAAAGTTGATACAAGGATAGGTGATGTGTGAGTTGCTGCCCATACAGCCAGTCCCACCCGGAGGTGAAGTCCTAGCTCCAAAGGATCAAGGTTGAAAAAACTGCCTTGAGTGGTTTTTCTTTTTTCTTTTTAGTTAAAAATTTTATATTGATAATACATAATCACAAAGTATATGTGTCATAAGTGTGCAGTTTGCTGAATTTTCACAAACTAAGAACTTCCAGTCTATTATAATTTCACTATTTACATTTTTTTTGATTGGCAGATACTAACTACTATGAATATAATAGATAAGCAAGTTTCTACTGTATCACACAGGGAACTTTATTTAATACCTTGTAGTAACCGATAATGAAAAGGAACACATGTATGTACGTGTACGACTGAAACATGATGCTGTGCACCAGAAACTGCCGTGGGTGTCGTTTGTAATTTACTGGCTGCCGGGGCTGTGTGCTGGTCTCCCCTGTCCTGTAACCCCCGAGTGTTCGCCTTGAGTGCTTCCCTGAGAGTAAATACTAGACCTTGCTCTTCTTGTTTAATAGTCTGTTCTTTTTTTTTTTTCCAGTTAAGGGTCATGTTAATTATAAAATTTGAGAACTCTCAAGTTCAGATTCCCGTCTGAGATGAACGCGAGCACACTCAGGAACAGAGAGCCTGCTGTGACTTCCCACGTTCCATTCTTTAGCAGTCGGAATGTGAAGGGAAGTCAGAGCTGTGTGGCTGTTCTAAGGAAACTCACATGAGGTGTCAAGTAGTAAAAAAAAGATTTAAAAGTGAAGGGATGGGGGAGGGTATAGCTTAAGTGGCAGAGCACATGCTTAGCATGCAGGAGGTCCTAGGTTCAATCCCTGGTACCTCCAGTAAAAATAATAATAACTAAATAAACAAACCTAATTACCTCCCCTTTCCAAAAAAAAAGAAAAATAGAGCAGGGGTTCAGCAAATTAAAAAAAATTAAAAAAGTGAAGGGAAAGAAGTGCAGCTACGACAGTGTTCCTTATCCAGGGCCCAGGTCTGGGGAAATGTGGGCGGAAGAACTGAAAAAGCCCACAGAACCTGTGCCCCCGGGGGGCATTTTCCTAGACTAGAAGCCTTCTCGGGAAGCCCGGCGCCCACCCACCCAGCCCTCCCTCTGGTCTCACCACTCATGGTGGTGATGAAACAAATAGTGTAGTTTTGGGGTTTTCTGTTTTCCTTAGGAAGTATTCTCTAGGAGCGGGTGGATTTAGACCTTTGCGTTAGACGGGGTCTCGTTCTTTCCCCATCAGCCGCAGCGCCCTGGGCACGGGTGTCACTTTATGACCCTTGGAGCCTTTGGGGAAATAAATGGGAGCAGAGGCTGGACATTAAATATCTTGATGCATTGGTCTTCTTCCTCCAGGATGGCACGATGAAAAAAGATGGAAAAAACCATGTTTCTGAGCATTTTAGTGGAAAAATGGAAGATGCAGAGTCTTCATCCGGGGCCCTGACTTCATCCTCACTGTTGGCTAAAATGAGAGCTCGAAACCACATGATTTTGCCAGAGCGCTTAGAAAGTGAAGGTGTGCCCCTTCCAGAGGCTGCCGCCCCGCCGCCCTCCAGCGCAGAACACGATGACCTGCTGGTAGAAATGAGAAACTTCATTGCCTTTCAGGCCCAAGTCGATGGCCAGGCCAGCACTCGGGAGATACTGCAGGAGTTCGAATCCAAATTATCAGCGTCACAGTCTTGTGTCTTTCGAGAACTGTTGAGAAATCTGTGCACTTTTCATAGAACTCCGGGTGGCGAAGGAATTTGGAAACTCAAGCCAGAATACTGTTGATCAACATTACTTTCTGAACTTTTGATTGACTTTTTCTAGTGAAAATTTCTGATTATTAATCTCATGATTAATAATCATATGTTTTGTCGATGGAAGTTAGCTGCATTTGATGCTTACTTTGAATGATAGCTACCTCACAATTAAAACTTTAAGGAAGAAGAAATTCTTCTCTAAAACTTTAAAGTTTTAAAAATACCTGGGTTGATTTTTTTTTTCCCAAAATGAATTATAAAATCAGGGACCTAACTGTTAATCCTTGGAACACATTTGTTCTTTAACCGAGAAGATGCTGTCAGGGAACACACTACTACTCATTTAGAAGCTTATACACCAGAACCCTCAAGAATTCTTTTTATTGGTGCTAAACATGTCTTATAGTTGGTTAGACATGTTCAATAAATCGGTTCATCAATATTTGATAACACATTGGTTTTGGTACCTAGCTTTTAAATGTTAAAATTTATCATTTGCCACCCAAAAAGAGATTAGGTTTGTTACCTTTTGAATCATATTAGTTGCCTTTAAATGACCTTCCTTTTAACGTACTGTTAAATTAGAAGGTATTTTTACTAGTAAAGCATGAAATAGCTTGGTAATAAACGATGAGACGTGCATTTGCAGAAAGTTGTAGTTTCCTCAGTTTACAATAGCTTTTTTTTAAGCAAAGGGCAGGAAACTTTTTCTCCCCCACAGTGACTGTTGGTTTTAGGAAAATGAAATGTGTTACCTTAAAAAAAAAGAATTCAAGCAGAACCAAAAGTAAGTAGAAATAAGCCCACCAACACACACACATGCCCACAACTGTCGCTCGAGACCACACCCAGATATACCGTCATTACCACCATTACCATGGAGCACAATTCCAGCCCCGCTCTCTGCCTGCATGCTGTGCAGGGAACTTTGAACATTTTCATTTCATTTTAGTCCTTGTTTGCCTTTCGAAGGATTCTGATCACTTTCCATCGGGCATCACTGTCCTCCTGCTCAGCCGTCTTCCTGTCTCTCTTCCGTTTGCACTCACCGTGGCTTTCCTGTCTCAGAGGTTTGGTTTCAGCTGCGTCTGTCCTGTGTCTGAGAGTCCGGGGATGCTGTTGTTTTCATCCTTAGTCTGTTCACTTGGGCTCGTGTTTCCTTCCTGCTCATTGGCGCTTTATCATCTCAGCGCTGAAGTCTTATTTTCTTAAAGTCATTGGATTCCTGAAGTGTCTCCCGGAGCTGTCAGCAGTGCAGTTGGTTTGTTTCTTGGATTTGTTTCCTCTGGCCTGTTCTCTTTCCTCTTTCTGATTTTTCTGTGTTAGGCCTGCCTTGCTCCCATGCCATTTGTTTACATCTTGCTCATGCTGAAAGTGGGCAGCTGGGTCCAGATCTCTTGTATGCTTTTTCCTGCCACCCAGAGAGAAAGGGTGTGGGCTTGGGGGTCAGGGAGAGCCTCTGCTGTCAGCGTGCAGCCTTTGGACGGAGGACTTGGGTTTTACTTTTCTGTTCTGAGACTGTGTTGAATAGCTTGGCCATGAGTCCCTCCCCTTAGACAGGAGATGTTACAGACTCATAATTCCCACCAGGATTTTTTGCTGCTTTTTTTGGATTCCGGCTTGTTCATTTTATTCTGTTTTTAGAGTGATTCGTTATTTGAGGAGGAAGATTCTATTACTTTCCTCATTCTGCCATCATTATCTAGAAATAATAGAAAAGACCTTTGAACAGGTCAATACCTCCTAAACTTGACCACTTGGCCCAGAAGGGAGTCAAAACTCATATCTTTTTTGGGAGGGGGGAGCTCTTTTTTTATTTTTACTTTTGTAATCATTAGCCTGTAAGAAAATTGCATCCCTCTTGTTCTCAGACTGAGGTCCTGATGCAGTTTCCAAGTGTGAAGTCCTTGGGCATGAAAGCTCTATTGTCTGAAATCTAGGCTTTACTGAGCTAGGGAAGTTGTAATCTTCACATCAAGTAGAAAATACGGTCAAAAGTTACAATGCATTCAAGGCAAGGTGGTTCTTGCTCTGCCGCCAGCATGCTGTGACCTTGGGTAGGCACTGCCTCGCCTGTGTCTCAGTGTGTGTGTCTGTAAACATTGTCTGGCCTCTGGGTGCAGAGACTTAGAGGAACATGCTCTCAGTGTAATGGTTTTAACAACACAGAGTGACTTACTCATTTAGATAGAAACTGACTTTGAGAACTTTAAAAGCTTTGTACAATGTGGGTAGATTTAATGTATTTAACATGTTATGTTGGTATCAAGCTACAATAAAGGATTTAACAATTTTATGAAATTTTTAAAATCCCTGAGTTAATACATGAATACACTGTCACTGTTGTAAATAAAATTCCAAGCAATACTCTGCCTCCCCACCTCTCTTGTTCCTGTTCCAGAGATAAGTACTGTATTTGGTGTGTATTTTTCTGGGCTATTTTCAATGCATTTGCAAATACCCTTGGCAGAGACTGCTGCTGGAATGTCTGTTTCCCCTTCTTCCTTTACTGATAAGAGTCCTGAATTTCACCTGGACACATGGCTGCTCAGCTAAAGACTCTACTTCCCAGCCTCCCGTATAGTTAACTGTGGCCACATGGCCAGGCAATGGGATGCGAAAAGAACGTCTAAATTGGCCCTTAAATAAGGAGTTGGGTGTAGCTGCCTCTCCCTACTCCCCCTTTTGCTGGCAGAGAGACCTATGGGAGCTTCAGCGGTGACATGAGGTGGACAGAAGTCATGTGGTGAGGACGGAGAGGTTGGCCCCCTCCTGTCTTAAACTGCTTTCCTTTCACCTGTTACTTAAGAGCTAAATAAATTCCTGACTTGTTTAAACCACTGTCTTTCGGAGTCTCTTTTGTTACAGCAGCTGGTTTTGTTTTACATATGTGATTTACATAAATGGGATGATATCATCCTTTTTATTTTGCAACTAACTTATCATGTAATGTTATATGCAAGACATCTTTTCATTCCTGTAAAGTATAACTCCATCTTCAGTGGAACTGCTGGACTTGAAATTATGTAGATTTTTTATTTTAACAGACATAGTGAAACTGCTTCCTTCAGTTCACACTCCCTAAGCGGACTCCGTCTCCACACTCTTGCCAGCAGTAGGGAATATCAGGCTCTGGTGATTTTTTTCCCCCTCTCCTAACCAATACTGTGGTTGAAAACACCCTTGTTTTAATTTGAATTTCCCTGATTATTTATAAAACCAAACATTTCTGTGTTTTTTGGCCATTTGTAGATCCTCTGTTACAAGCTACCTGTTCATGTCATGTTTGCCTACTTTTAAATTGGTTATTTTCTCTCTTACGGTTACACCCTGCCTTCCAAACGAAAAAGAAAAGGCAGTTGTTCCTAGTATCACTGAATTGTCCAGTCTTTTCTCCACCCGTTTGGATTGCCAAGTTATCATATGCTAACTTTTCTGTTTCTGGACGACAGACCAAGATTCTATTCTGCCAACCGCACACGTCACTGTCGTTGACTTTGTACGATGTTTTGCTATCTATAGGCAAGTTCCCTTGCCTTTCCCCCCACCTTCTTCATTGCCTTATTCTCGTGCGTTTTCTGTTTCCAGAAATTAATTAAATTAAATTAAATTAAGTTCCGCTAAAATTGTGTTGCCCCTTTGATTGGGATTGCGTTAGTTTATACATTAATTTGAGGGTAATAGACTTCTTTTAATTAATGTGGTTTTCCCCATTATCTTGTTAGGCCACATCTTATTAGAGTATTTTATATTCTTGGATTGGAATTTTAATAACTTTCTTCATGAGCATCGTGCACATTTCCTGTTAGGTTTATTCCCAGCGATTTTATACATTTTTGGTTTTGTTGTGGATCTTCTTACTTTTACATGAAAATGTGGAGAATTAGAACATAGAAATTTGTTTATGATGTTGTTCTTCATACAGTAGATTTTAATTTAAATGTAGTCAGATTCAGTCTTTTCATGTTTTGTTTTATTTCCTTATTGAAGAACCCTCTTCTAACCAAGTCATGATGAAATTCTCCTAAATTCTCTTGTAAACTCCATAAAGATAGTTAACTTTTTCTAGCCTCTTTAAAAAAAAAATATTGCATCCTTTCCCTCTTGATTGGTAAGCCTTCCTGTATCATTATATCCAATTTCCATGTAATTATAGGGATGTTTCTGGGCTCTGTACTCTGTTAAATTGGTCCACTTAACTTTGCCAATAACCCACTGTTGTAATCATTGTAGCTTTAAATTGGCAATCATGTATATTAGAATGATTCCTCTCATCTTCCCAAAATGCCTTAGTTATTGGATTTTTATTCCATGTAAGTTATGGGATCAGCTTGTCACATTTGGATTTTGTTGTTTTTGAAACGGTAAAGACTGATTGTACGGGTTAGTTGGGGAGGATTGTTTATGATACTCAGTTTCTCATCTATGAACAGGGCAATCACCCCATTTATAATATGCGTTTATTATAAAGACATAATTCCATGTGTCTTCTATTTTATAAGATCATGCACATCTTACATTTATTCCCAGTTATCCTACAGTTTTGGTTGCTATAGTAAGTGACAGTTCTTTTAAAATCACATTTCCTAGTTTATAGGAGTACCGTTGGAATTTACACATTGGTCTTGTATTTAGCAACCTTGCTGGACTTTTGTATCAATTCCAATAAGTATAAAATTGCCCTTATGTAACAATCATGTCGGCTGCAAATAATGACAATTGTATTTTCTCCATTCCAATACTTAACACTTTATACAGTTCCAATATGATAATGAATGTAAATGACAGTTGGCATCTTTGCCTTATTCCTGACACTGAAGATAAACGTCTAAAGTTTTACTATTATATACGCAGTTGCTATTGTCTCCTGGCAGATGACTTTTATCAGGTTAAGGAAGTGCTCTTCCCAGTCCTGAATCCAGTGCTGAGTTTTATTCAATGCTTTTTCTGCATCTATTAATTTAATTGTATAGTTTTTCTTCTTTAAATCTCTCTCTTAGTGTTATAAAGTACACAGTTAAGTCTTCCAACATTAAAACATCTTTTAGACTTCCACTTCTAGAATGGCTGGATATAGGACCCTGCAGATGTGCAGTCAGGAAAACAGCTGAAAACTGGACAAAATTCTAGAAGACAAACCACCCTCCCCACTCCTGAAAATTTAATATTTCTGGAAATAGTCCTAAGGACCTACTGTAAATGAAGAGATAGTCAAAAATGTCTACTAAGTCTGGGTCAGAACAGCAAAAATTTGGGACTCCTGAGCCACAACATATTCCTCCCCTTCTTCCCATCTGAGTGGGATGACAGACTCCCATTATCCAGGTGGGATTGGCCAAGAAAACGGAGCTTCTTCCCTCAATTCCCAATCAAAGGATACAGTATCTCACTGGGAGGGGTGTGCTTCCAGCATATCTCATCCTCTCCAACTCCAAGTTGCAGGGACTAAGTTCATGGAGCTAGAAAGTATAGGAAGTAACAAAGTGAAAATTCACTAGACGGGCTCAGCAGTAGGCTTGAACTGGCAGAAGACAGATTCAGCCAATCTGCAGATAGATGGATAGAGATCATGCTATCCAAAGGACAGAGGTAAAAAAAATGAAGAAAAATGCGCAGAGCCAAAGAGAAACGTGATACACCATTAAGTGCACCTGTCTATGTGTAATGGGAGTACTGGAGGGAGAGGAGAGAGTGAAGAGAAGAAAAAATATTTAAAGGACATTATGGGGAATGATTGTTTAATGAATATAGGGTGACTAAACTCAGACTAAGATAGAAAATATTTCTCATTAAAAATGGGAATAAAATTATGGAGGTGACTAAAGAATGACACATTGAGGCTGAAGGGTAAATAAGATCAGCCCGTCTAACAGGAGAAGCTCTTCATCCTTCCTTCTCTGACCTCTGCTGCCTGGCATGTTCAATCTAGCAATCTTGTCCCAAGCCTTTCGTTCTGCACATTTCCCCTTCCCTGTGTTGTGGATTTCAGATCGGAAAACAAAGGCTGGAATCCAGCTCCAATTTCGATTATTGCTTTGGATAGTCCCTGAATTTAAGACAGAAAAAAATTGGACCATTGCGTCTCGCTAGCCTTGGCACTGTCCATGGCAGTGTTAAGTTGCTGGTTATAATTTTCTGCTTCTTTGGAGAGAGAGAAAGAGCGGCACCTTAGCTTGGACCTTGGAATGAGGAATGGTGTTTCTGAATATGGGCCACCACCATTTATTATTTCCTTCTCCGCCACGAACTGGGTGCCCTCAGCCTTGGAAGTATTCCACAAGGAATTCTACAAACTTTCTGTTTTTCCAAGACAATTAGGGTAGACAAGACCCTCCAGCCCACAGGGACTTCTGCACTTGGCAGCGGGAGGCGAGAACCCTGGAGAGACTGTGGACCATGTTCTCAGGTAACCCTGACCTTACCTGTCCCAAACTGAAAATTGGAGGATAGCGATGCCCATTAGAAAAACTAGGCATTTGTTGAATTCTCCTGCCTGGTGTGTGTGGGGGGTCGGGGGAGCTGGACATTTTCTACTGTGGCGATTCAGTTGTTTTCCCCGGAGGCTAAAACCTCTCGGGGCAGGAGTCTTGTTTGGATGCAAACACCCTGCGTAGTGTGTGCTAAAGCCCAGAAAAGATCATCCTGAAAGAGGAAGAGACGCCTCAGGTTTCCCTTGTTCTCAGGAGACTTCCTGGTTTATCTCACAAAATAAAGTTTTACTTTAAATTTGAAGCACCTTTTCTCTCTCTGTCCTTTGTTCCTTCCTGGTTCTTTCACATTCACGCCTTGCCTCCTTTTGATTTGCAGTGGATCGTAACTAGTCATCAGAATAAACAAAGCGCCGTTTAAAAACCTGTGAAATCGGGAAAACACCTTTATAAAGCGGTGCTAAAGTCCAGGACGCGCTGCTGGTACTGTGGACCCGAACGCAGCCCCGGATGGCACCCAGGGGTGGAAACCCATGCCCCCACCTCCGTCCGCACTGGGGGACACCAGGAGGGCATGGAATGGCCCCCACAAAGGGAGAAAACCGTGGGACAGCACGTTTTATTGTTTAAGAAATCGGAAGGCAAAACTAATCCGTGTAAAATGAGTTTGTATCATAATACAGAGTTTGTAATAAGATATCAAAAGAAAAGAGGAAGCTGTAAAGAGCTTATTCTGATTTTACTAAAAGGGCCAAGTGGGTTAAAATCTTTTCATTAGTTGTACTTTTATAACAGTCACATTTTAGAAACGACTTATTTGCATTAAAAACGAGGCTCCCTCCTCCTGATAACCAGTTGGGAATGGGAAGCATGACTGACGGCTGAGGTGTCAAGGTGGGAAGGCCATGTCTTCCATAGGGTTTCCAGCCGCTTCTCCCCCTCACCCCCATCCCTGTAACTCCCAGCTTTACTGCTCATCAGTTTCTCCTCTGAGATTTCAGCCCCCCTGTTCCCTCAAGTTTCTTACTCCTGAGGATAAATCTTTATTCGTGTGATGCTTTCTCCCTCTGCATTTTCCCCTGTTTCTGAGCAAATTCTTACTAGTTTTCAATGAACTACCTTTAAGGTTATTCTCTTTTGTGAAGGCAGAAATAAATGATATCTCATCCGTGTCTCTCTTGCCCAGACATAGCAAGTATCCAGATTATGTAAAATTTGTTTCAGATCTTTTTCCTTAAAGAAATTAATGTGACAAAAAAGAATTAACCATCTCATTTCTTTTTCACTTCCTCTCTCCCCAGAGGTAACTGGATACCCAAAGCTGATAGATATTAATCTAAAGTTGACAGATATTAATCTCAGGCATATTTTTATTTTGGCTGTATATGTATATATTCATACCCTAAATA